TCACTTCCATTCCAATTATCAGCTTGTAGCAGCAGCATTTGTCTGTAATTTGAAGTATTTTTTTTTTTTGTTTTTTTTTCTCCTCCAATCTGGTATGGAAATCAATTTATTGTAAAGACTTTGGGATGGGGAAGAAGTGAGGTTAACGATAATTCTGTTGTTTAAAATTATACCTTTTTTATGTTTTCAGATGCCTGATTTTACAAGTTGGATGAAAAGCCTATAGTCCATCCCAGTTTTTAATGAATTCAGTGTAGAATAGAATAGAATCCCACAGCAGGGAAACAGGCCATTTGGCCCAACAAATCCACACCAACCCACCGAAGAGCATCCCACACAGACCTATCCCCCTACCCTATCCCTGTAACCCTGCATTTCCCATGGCTAATGCACCTAACCTACACATCCCTGAACACTGTGGGTAATTTAGCATGGCTAATCCACCTGACTTGCACATCTTTGGACTGTGGGAGGAAATTGGAGCACCTGGCAGAAACCCACGCAGACACCGGGAGAACATCCGAACAGACAATTGCCTGAGGCTGGAGTCAAATACAGGTCCCTGGAGCTGTGAGGCAGCAGTTCCAGCCACTGAGCTAACCTCCCCTCAGATCATGCATGATGCTTGCTCTTGGGCTGAACCTATGCATGGAGTCTTCTTATGTGGGAAGGCTGTTCTGTTCTATTTATTTCAAGTTTACAATTCTAAAACACATTCCTTTTTATCTAAGATTTTGTTTATATAGGTGTACAGGTACACAATTAACTAAGGGCGACAGCATAAGTAGATAAGATCCAAAAAGACCAAAAGATTCCTTAGTTTTGAATGAGCAGCTTGCATTTCTTTTAGCACCTTTCAGAACATCAAAATACACTGATTTGTGTACAGCAAGGCTCCACATACAGTAATGCACCTGCAAGAACACCTCCATATTCTTCAATATAGTGCTGTGGAATTTTTTACATCCAACCAATAAATGGTGCCTCAAAGGCATCACCGATGATACAGCATTCTTTTGGTATTGCACAGAATGTCAGCCTGGAGTTTCTGCTCAAGCCTTTGGACAAGAATCTGTGGGATTTAAACCCATAACCTTTGGACTTGAGAAGCAGGAGTGTTACCCATTGAGCCATGAGGTACACAATAGGGCGGCACGGAGCGTCAGTGATTAGCACTGCTGCCTCACAGTGCCAGGGACTTGGGTTCAATTTCACCCTCTGGTGACTGTGTGGAGCTTGCACGTTCTCCCCGTGTCTGCGTGGGTTTCCACCAGGTGCTCCATTTTCCTCCCACCGTCCAAAGATGTGCAGGTTAGGTAGATCGGGCAATTTAGCATGGTCATAGTGTCCAGGGATGTGTAGGTTAGGAGGATTAGCCGTGGGAAATGCAGGGTTCCAGGGAAAAGGTAGGGGCATGGGTCGGGGTGGGATGCTGTTCGGAGGGGCGGTGTGGACACAAAGGTGATGTTGAGTTTGTGCATGACCTTAATTCTCGGTTGGAGTACTTTAGCGATTCTATTGTTGGAAGGGATACAATAGAATGGAAAAGTGCAACATAGATTTATTAGGCTGTTACCAGGGATGAAAGATTCTCAAACTAGAATTTTTTTTTTCATTGGGGCAGTCCTAGTTATTAGATGACTGGATGGAGATCTGTTAGATTGTGAAGGGTTATGATAAAGTCATTCTTAATGCTCAAATTCTGTCTTATAAGGAAATATTAATGCAGATAAACAAAAGCTTGGTGAAAGAAGTAGACTTTAGAGAGTGTTGTAAAGGAGGAAAGAGCAGTAGAGATTTCTGTGGAGTGGATTCCATAGCCTAGGACCAAGAAAGTGGGGGCAAAGCCATTACACGGTGCTGTTAAAATCAGATGTTTAAGAAGCAAAAATATTTGGCACGGTTTGGGACTGCAGAAGATCACATGGATGGTCAAGCACATGAACTACTTTGAACATAAGGATGAGAATTTTAAAATTGAGCCTCTGATTGACTCGGAGCCAGTAGGTCATGTGCATGTTGGGTAACCAGACATTGTGCGCATTTGGACACAAGTAGCAGCTTTAGTGACCAGGCTTATTGGGGTTGGAATATGAGAGACTGCTTGTTGGAATAGTTTAGCCTAGAGATGTACGTGAAAAAGAATATTGATCAATATTAGTCAGAAGGTGAGATTTGACCTAATGGCTTATGGAAATAAAACAGATGTATTGGTCAGTGCATTCTTGCTGTGCAGTGACATTCATTGCCATTCTGTGAACATCTTTTTGTGCATTACTGTTCCTATATGTTTCCTTTAGACTTAAATGTATTTTCATAAAATTAAATAACCTTTATTTCCAAAGCCTCCGATCTGCGGAATGGAATATATCATAGGCACAGAATGTTTGACACAGATTCTTTGTATTGCCCCATCAAGTACACCAAAGGCATATGTAGCAGATGTAAAAATCTGCCTCCGTTACTCAAAGCACTGCATACATCAGATACAACGTGAATCTATTACTGAGTAAAATTTCCATTCTTACTCCACAATTGACCATTTCCACATCCGATGAAGCACTGGCTGAGCTATAGTTTGTGCCACTCTGATTAAAACCTGGTTTTAGAGGGAAACTCAATGCTCCACATCCATCTCTTTGAGCCCTCTTCCAACTTCCAAATCTTCTAGCCATTTACGTTATCAACTGTCCTGCTCCATTTTGCAACAAGATTACCAGTTGGTGTTGAAATTCATGCGAGTTTTTGCTGCAGGTTGCTGCCTGTAGAGAACTGCATTTGAGACTGATAGCTGGATTCCCCTGCTATTGTGTCCTGGCACGCAGCAAACAGAGGATACTAGTTTGCTGCACTTTCCTTTCAGAAAATGTACATGCGTACATTCAAGGTACTGGCTTCCTTCTCAGGCAAACACCCAACAACTTTCCTTAGGTTTTTAATTCACCATGGTCAATTGGAGATCGAGTCTGATTAAGTCACAGGTGTTCATTTCCATCTGTACTAGGAAATATTTGACTGTTCAACTAAATTCCAGAATAAGTACTACCACAGTATTGAACAATTAAGGTTGTATAAGCATATCTTGTAACAATAATACAGATTCCAAAAAGCATTCATAAGCATTCCTTCCTTTTGCATTACGTTTATAAAGTTGTCAAAGCCAAAGATTATCATAAATTCTGTCTTCAAGCAGTTTGCTGCCTAAAGTCTTAGCTGTATGTTTTGAATGTTTGGCTGTTTTATTAATTGCACGTGCAGTTTGTTAAATTACAATTGGTGATAGAATTGTTACTGTTTAGGGTGAAAGCTACTTGAAGTGATTTTTGTGTTCCAGTTTATACTTAACAAATCCCAGTCATTAAAAACAACAGGAAGTGCTGTAACACATAGTAAATTGTTTACACTGAATGGCCTGATGAACCTGAAGAATCCAAACTTTGAATTCAATCTGTGCAGAGTTTAAATCGAGATTGTTACTGCTTGTTATCTTAGCCCTTGGTGCTAAGAATTGTTTGCATTTTTTTGAGGTTGAAGGTTTCAAAACCTTGTCTTTTAAATTAATCCAAAACATTCAAATTGGACCAAACCAACAAAAAATTAAAGTGTAAGAAAGATTGAGTCCATGTCTGCTACAAAGTTCAAACTGATGTAGTTTGGACTGAAATTTCTGCCTTTTCTGTGTGACTGAGCTTTGAAAAGCATAGATGAACAGAAAGACCATGTGTCTATTTTTAACAATTCCAAAAGGTGTCAACACAACTGGATAAATTAACGTTTAAAAGAAAAAACATTCAATTTACTTCATTCTATAAATAGAAGTTTAGAGTATAAAAGAAAAGAAACCATGGTTCAACTTTGTAAAATCATTGTTTAGGCCATAGCTGGAGTAACATGGACAACTCTGAGCACCACACATTGTATAAGTTGCCAAAAAAAGTTACAGATGCAGTTTACTGGGTATGAGGAAAATTTGGAAAAGTTGGAATTTGGTATCCTTGAACCAGAGAAGGTTAATGGGTGGCCAGTTAGAAATTGTCAGGATGAGCAAATTGGATAGAGAATGATTGATTGATTGTTTCCTCGAGTGAAACAATATCCAGAGGCCATTGATTTAAAATCATTGGCAAAACATCTAGAGGGAAATTTGAGATATTTTTCAGAATTGTTGGGATCTGTAGTGCTGTATCTGAAAAGCAGTGGTGGAAGCTGGTTTTCAAATAATTTTAAAAGGGAGCTGGACCTGTACTTGAGAGTGAAGAATTTATAGTTACCAAAAGCTGGGATGTGGAACTAAGCATGATTGATCTTTCTTTCAAAGTTTTTGTTGCTGTAAGATGTCAAATTTCAATAGTCATGTATTATTCTTCTCTGCTGTTTTTTTTTTTCCTGAAGGTCTCTTATATTGATGTTTTCTTTTGAAGTGTGAATGGGTATCACTCTCTTGCTTCGAGTCAAAAAATTGGACTTCTGAGCCAGAACATCATTTGGTTCAAATCCCATTCCAGAGACTTCACCATAAAGTTTAAGCTGACGCTTGCACTGCTGCACTGTCTGCAGTAACATCTTTCGGATGATATGTTAAACAGAAAACCTGATCTGTCCTATCAGTTTGATGCAAAAGATTCTTCAAAATAGAAGAGTTGAATGTGCTCTGAGCAATATTTGTGTCTGAATCAGTAGCACTAAAGATAATCTGATGCTTTAGCTGATTGCTGTTTGTGGGAGCTTGCTGTGCAAATTGCTGAAGTGCTACCTACAACTGTCTCCACAATTCCAAAAGTCCTTCCTTTCATTGTAAGGCACTTTGGGATGTCTTGAGGCTGTCTGCATCTCTGACAGTGATATTTCCTCAGTACTGTACTGGAAATGCTAGCCTTGATCATATGCTCAAATCTTGGATGGATTTGAATCTTTTATTTTTCTCGATGGGAGTGTTACCCACTGAAACACAGTTGCCAGTTCTTTGTTCTGTTTTAAATTTGTTTTCCTCTTTCTTATAGGGAACATTTGATGATTACTTGGAATTGTTTCAACAGTTTGGCTATGTCAGTCTTTTCTCGTGTGTTTACCCTCTGGCGGCTATATTGGCAATTTTGAACAACATCACTGAAGTGTTTTCTGATGCTCTGAAAATGTGTCGTGTCTTCAAACGACCATTCTCCCAGCCTGAACCTGACATTGGAGTCTGGCTGGTAAGCAGGTTCTGTTTATTCTATTTGTGTTTCCACTTGCTACTTAAATGAAAATTATTTTAATCATTATAACTGCCAAATGACCATCTCAGTTTTCTTTTCGCTTAATCTCTGAAAATATAGGCTAGAACCCATTTTCTATCAAAAGGAAATCTCATTAACATTCAAAGAAAGTCTCTCTGTATTTGACAGTGACTATCCCCAGAATTATATTTTGAGCATTTTCCTGTATTAGGCGGTGATTATCCCTGTAATTATATTTTCAAATTAAGATTCCCTTTTATATCTTTGGTTCCTTTTTACTCCCATGTTGCCTTTGGTATCTGAGAGGGCATTTCTCCCCTATGTCCATAAATAGTGGTTCTATGTTTCTATTTCATTGCTATGATTAAATCCTTTACTTAGAATGGCCCAATATTTCTTTGTTAGAAACTACCCATGTCAATCTTGTATGTATTCATTCACTAAACAAGAACAGTCCTTTTGGGGTTAAAAAAAAATCCAAAGATTCACAACCCTCTGGGTAGAGAAATTTCTCTTTTATCTGTCTTAAATGGATGATCCCTTATCCTGAGAGTACACCACCTCCGATTTCTAGATTCTTCAACTGGGAAACAATTTCTCATCATTTACCCATCAATTCCACACAGAAACTTTCATAGCTTTCAATGATATCACGATCTAAATTCCAAAGAATATTAAACCATTCTATGAAGATTTCTCCTCATTGGAGAATCCTTTAAACCTAGGAATCAATAGTGCAGTACCAGAGTTCTTAGTTTGCACAAATATAACAAAAATAAGTACACAGTTTGGGCTAGTGTTATTAGCCCAAATTGTACATTCATCCCAATCACAGAGCTCATTGTGGGCAACTCGTACCAGTTTGAACAAATGGCTTTGGATGAAAGATCACTTTGATTTACGAGCAGAGTAAGCATTCTACAAAATTCTTCAACAATTAAACTGAAGAATCCTCCCTGAGATCAGTACAGTCAAAATGGGAAGCATAGGTCAGTATTTATGTACCAAAAGTGGAATAATGATTTAGAATTACAGGTAAGATTAAAAGAGAAAAGAAAGTTGTAAAAGGTATTTTAAAAGTTTTTAAAATGGCCAACACTTACTAATGTCTAAACAATTAAGACTTAACAGGTGTAAAAATATACTTATGACCAGCAATGTATCCACCAAGCTAATGTTTTATGGTGTCTGTGTAATAGGGAACTGGTGGGTAGGTTCCCCAAGTCCATGCAATTTGCATATCTTGTGATGACAAGCACTGTTGCAGCGCAATCTGTGAAGTTGAAGGGGTATCTCTCTCAACCAGTTCTATGCTTCTGTTTTTTAAATGAACATGGCTCAGTGCTGGAAGACAGTGTCCAGTTTATTCCATGGTATTCCAATAATGGTAAAATATCTGAGCCAATGTATTACAATCTATGTAGTTAAACTCAGACCTATCTATGAATGCATTTACTTGGTTGGACAACTAACTTCAGGAAGAAAGTATAATAGGATAACCTATTAGGCAACCTACGTGATGCATCACCATTAATAGCAAAACTGCCCAATGTTTTTTCACAGGGATGTTATTAGACAAAATTTGACACCAAGTCACATAAGAATATATTGGGATAGGTGACAAAAAGCTTGGCCAATGAGGTAAGTTAAGGGGGATGCCCTAGGAAGAGACAGAATTAAAAAGCAAAATAATAGGGGTGAAGAATTGCTAGGAGGATGATCGTGTGTGGTAGGCTCAACTGTAGGTACAGTATCACTTGCACATTTCCAACCTGAATGCAATCACCATTTTCATTTGACCCAAATCCAACATTTTGTATATTCAAATGAAAAACTTATTCTGGGTATATAGGAGTTCTGACAGTGATCCCAAACAAAAGTTTATACAAAAATTGGACCGTTTGTAGCAGGGTCAAGCAATCAAGAATAAGCACAAACCTGATGAACAACTTTAGATGGAGCCTTCTACAATATGTCCTTGGATATTATACAGTGTCTACTTAGACAAATGTTACTACATAGACCAGTCTTATGAAGAAGACTTAACAAAATCGATCGATCATGAACCATATTGAAATGGTAGTGGCTGCTCTGAAGGACTATTAAGAAGTTCACATCTTTAATGTGGCCTTACTTTAGTGTGCACTATCTCACCTATGAACTACACTAGTACCAGATAAAAGATATTCTGAAACACTAGGCTGTTCTTTCAGCTTTGTTACTATCTCCATGCTATTGCCAGCAAGAACCAATGCCTACATTATTGTGCAAACAGACACCCTGTGTACAAGATGTTAATAAATCCGGCATTTTTATCTGTGGTAAGAATCTTGAAAGTTTGAACTTTAAACATTTCCATGTGCCTTGAGTGTATATTTTAAAATGTTCCTCTTAATTTGCCTTGCAACATTTGCGATTTGAGAAATGTTTGTTCCTTATGTTGAAGTTTGACCAGTTTTAGCAGAAGTGTAGACAATGCAAACTTCAAAAATAAAACATTACGAATCAAAATCCTAGTCATGGAACAAGCTATCATTGGAATTAAATTTGAAGTTTGGGGGGGGTAGTGGTGCGGTGTAGAGTGCTGGGGGAGCAAAGATGTTGATAGCGCATATTAATTGATTGTTCTGCCGTTCTCACATTCCAATGGTGTATCTAACTGCCAGATTTGAAAGAACAGAGTCCCACTGGGGTGGGCAAGGGGAGAGAGGACATAGACACCCCGTTGTTCTGCCATTCTCACATTCCGATCACTTAATCTGCACTATTAACATCATTCCTCCTCCAGCCCTCTACAACACACCTCCCCAAAGTATAGCATAAATGCTGCCCCCTCCATACTTCACTTCAGCTCTGAAGAGACATCTAGACTCAATGTTAATTTGCTCCTTGTCCATGGACACTGTCTGACCCACTGTGATCTCCAGCATTTGTTTTCAATGCAGATTACAGCATCTGTAGTAATTTGTTCCTACATTGTTGAAGAACTGAGTTTGTCTTGATGATGTGTTACCTGTGAATTATTCAAATCTGCAGACTATATGCTTTGTTGAATCCGGGTTTAATCTTTGAGAGTGCACCAATTAAAATTTCCTGCATTTGTGACTCGAATCGATCATAAATGATCAATCTGTGGGAGAGTCTGGAACTTCATTAACTTGGGCTACTTTTGTCTTGAATATTGCCAATGCCTGTACTGACTTTGCGGTTAAAAGTCCTCTTTTACAATCTTAAATCCCAGGTGTACAGGACTGCACATGTCTTTGTATTATAAGATTATACAAAAAGCAACAAAATATAGAACATCTAAAACATAGAACAATGAAAAACTAATAACCAAATGTACACCTTTCTACATAATAGGGAGGAGTCCATGGCTGGCATCCGGAAATTCTGCAGTTTTGATTGATCAGTTTTGAAGCTGGAGAATTTTCAAAGAAACTCCTGTTTTGGATTTAAAACTTCCAGAAGATTTATGATTTACCAGTTTCTTTTGTGTCTTTGATTATCTTCAGATATGTATTTATTTTACTGAAAATCTTTGTCAGGATTTATTTCTGGGCAAGAGAACTGCAATTCTCATGAGTATTTATTATTAAAAATACCTTGGTAATCAATGTTACAAAGTAACTTGAATACATGTTTTTCTGATTTAGTATTATGAGCTTTCATTGAGTAATACTTTAATTGAGTGTATTTTTTGTTTGTTTGTAGCTGGCTTTCGAAACTATGGGAGTTATCTCGGTGATGACCAACTGTGCACTGATTGGGATATCGCCCCAAGTGAAGAGTTTCTTTCAGGAAAAAAGCATAGAGCTTGTCCTATTAATTGTGGGTGTGGAGGTAAGTTAAAACATTTGTACTTATTGAACTTTTGCATGTCATTGGTGTATTAACTAAATAAGCTACTTCACTTTTCCTCAATCTGCTCCCCTGCACTCCCCCAAAAAAGTTTAATCTTTTATGAAAATAAAGTGTTGGAGAAATTCAGTCAGTCTGGCAACATCTATTCCAATGGGAAATATATTGGAGTCAAATCGTTAGCCCTGTTTCTTTTTTCCATAGAAGTTGCTAATTTAACGTCACTTTCTGTTTTTATTTCGGATCTCTAGTTTCTGCAGTACTTTGCTTTTATTCGCACGTTTACTTTTGTGACATACCTGTGAAAGAATCATTTGACCTACACATTGAACATTTGGGCTTTTTGGATTTGCATCAACCTATCAGCAAGTACAATACATTTCATTTGTGTGTACCTAGAATACATTGTTTGTACCTGATTTATTTCCTTTGCAAAACTGATTAAGAAAAGTTTTTTGTTCCAGATGATGAGATGCAAGTTTATATGGAGCAAATTAAACAATCAATCTTTGATTTTTTTAAAAAAAAACTTGATTATTTGTTTTAGGCTTGGAACTATTAGTTGATAATTACAGATATTGCTCTTTGTTTGCCCCAAAATAGCCTTTTGTCAAGATCCACAGTGACTGTATTTTGTTTACAAAACTATATATTACCAATTTACTAGGGGCAGTAACTTAGAGCCTGTGTCCAGAACGTGGACTAATGATTAAGACATGAATTCGTGGCCTACCATGATGCTTGGGGAGTTTAAAATCAGTTAATTGGTGATGCCATCCTCTCATCAGCTACTTTCTATGGTGCGACCTGTCCTATCATGGCCAGCTGATGCTATCTTTGCATGTGTAGTGTTATTTTGGTATTATGGATAGCCGTTCTGTAACTGCCCCTCTAACGTGGCCAACTAAATTGTGGCAAAGGCAATAATGTTAGGCTTGCCAGTGTACCTACATCCATTAACGGAATAAAAATACAAAAAAAAGTACATCGATACATTCAAATCTCAATTAGTTCAAGGGGCAAATCTTAATGGAGTTGATAGAAGCTTTTAAAAGTGACAGTAGAGGAAATAATTGGGCCACACCACTTTTTAGGACCTGCAAAAGTAAAACACTATATCTGCTAGAAATTTGAAATAAAAATGCACAAAATCACACACATATTACATTAGAGATGGAGGCCACTTGGTCCACTGCATCTGCAATGGCTGTATAAATGTGAACATCATTGCCTAGTGCTTCTCCCCACTTGTCCTTGCACATTATCTCTATCCAAATAATCATCCACTGCCCTCCTTGAATGTCTCAATTGAACCAGCATCCATCTCGCTTGCCAGCAGTGAATTCCATACCATAACTAATCACTTTGTGAGAAAGCTTTTTCTCACATTACATTTGCTACTTTTGCAGATCATTTTAAATCTATGCCCTCTCATTCTTTGTTTTCTTTATGAGCAGGCGTTTCTCTTTACCTGCTCTATCCAGCTGGCTCATGATTTTAAAAACTTCTATCAGATCTCATTTTAGCCACCTTCTCTCCACAGAGAACAGTCTCAACTTTTTCAACCTGTCCTCAAAACCGACGTTCCTCATCCCTGGAATCGTTCTTGTAAATCACTTCTGCACTGTCTGCAATGTGTGCACATCCTTGATATGATGTTATGCCCAGAACTGTCAGCAATATTTCAGCTGAAGTCTAACAAGATGGAGTTCAATCTAGATAAATGTGAGGTATTGCATTTGTGGTACAACAAACAAGGTAGGGCTTATACAGTTAAAAGTAGAGCCTTGGGTAGTGTTGTTGAACAGAGGGACCTAGGGGATCAGGTATGTAAATCTTTGAAGTTTACGTCACATGTAGACAGGGTGGTTAGAAAGGCATTTGGCACGCTTGCCTTCAATGTTCAGTCCTTTGAGAATAGGTGTTGGGACACATTGTGGAGGTTGTACAGGACATTGGTGAGGCATCTTCTAGAATAGTGTCCAGTTCTAGTCACCCAGTTACAGGAAGGATATTATTAAGCTGGAGATAGTTCAGAAGAGATTTACCAGGATGTTGCCGGTATGAAAGATTTGAATTGTAAAGAAAGGCTGGATCGGCTGGGACTTCTTTCCCTGGAGCGTGGGAGGTTGAGAGGTGACCTTATGGAAGTTTATAAAATAATGAGGAGCATAAAGAGTTAATGGTAGTTGTCTTTTTCCTGGGATGGGGTTCAAGACTAGGAAACATATATTTTTAAGATTTTTTTTTAAGGAGAGCGATTTTAAGCAAGACATGAGGGGCAATTACTTTCCACAAAGGATGGTTCACATATGGATTGAACTGAGGAATTGGTGGATGTGGGTACAATTACAACATTTAAAGGACCTTTTTGAATAGGAAAGGTTTGGAGTGATTTGGGCCAGGAGCAGGCAGGTGGGACTAATTTAGTTTGAGATTATGTTCGGCAGGGACTGGTTGGACCAAAGCGGCTGTTTCTGTGCTGCATGATTCTATGACTATGTCTTGTACAAGTTCAGTATTACTGCCTTACTTGTGCTCTATGTCCTAATAATAAAGCCAAGGATGCTGTGTGCTTTATTACCAGCTCGATCTGTTGAGTTTTTCAGCACCTTGCGCCTTCCACTCAGTTATTAAGGAAAAAGCTGTAGATATGGCTTCCATAATTTTCCAAAGAACTCTAAGTTTGTAAATTGTGTTATTGAATTGGAAAACTACAAATATTGTTCAATCAATTAAGAAGCAAAAAGGGAGTGACTAAAACTTGAAATAATTCCGATCAGAAAGTAAAGCTGCCACCGAAAAAGTGGACAGGACTGCTATGTCTGTGGGCACTCTACGCGTAGATTTCCAGAAGAAATTTGATTAATTCCTACTTGGTTATTAGGGGAAATGAGTACTTGAATTGGAAGAAACCTATAATGGTTGATAATTGTTTGGGAGGTAGGAGGCAAAGTTGGATGAAGGAAATGTACTCTGGCAGAATGCAGGAAGTGTTGGTTTGGGGCCTTTGTTTTTCACCATCAATGTAAACAGATTAGTTGAAGGAATTGAGACACATATTCAGGTTTATGGATGACACAAAATTAGAAGGCAGTATAGGTTTTTTATAGTCTAGAACAGCAAGTTATAATGAGGCATAGGCAGATTAAGTATGTGAACGAAACAGACAGATGAAGTTCAGTGTGGAGATTATCCACTTTTGGACCGAAGCACATACTAAACTACTTTCTTAATGCTGAAAAACTACAAGCTGTGGAAGAGCAAGGAAATTCATGTATGGTCTTACCTCACTGGGATAATGTGCTAGAAACTGAGCCCCACTATTCCCACAGTCATCACAAAAGTGGAAAATTTTATCAAAATATGCAAAGTATGTGATTGTGAAGTCCCCCAATTTACTGGTTAGATCCAGGCTGACAAAGCATGGACCAGGTTTCTGTACTTAACGAGAACTGTTATTAAGTACAAATAAGTAGATTCTAACTACAGACAAAGAATTGCATACTGTCAAACTCCACACCGACAAACAAACAAGTATTAACATTATGGGGAAGGGGAGGAAATTTGAGAATGAGTTCAATGGCCTGAGTCCACAGTGTTTGTTGAGATGATCCTTTTGCTTGCCTGAATTTTCTGTTTTTCAATCTCTCTTCTCCAGATTCTTTTCACTCCTTCAAGGAGGTGTAGACCACTGGTAAACTACCTGCAAAGTTTCTTGTGTACTAGTTAATGGCTGCTGGTAAGAACAGCAATGGGTGAAGGAAAATAAACTTTTTACAGGGTCTAAAAATTTAACTGGACAAAAAGATAGCGTCTGCCCTTGCAGCAGTCCAAAGGCTTCTGCTAGTCTTGTACACGCCCATAAACGCTTCACCCATTCAGGGGTGCTTGTTTTAAGGCTGATGACCTTTGACATCCACAACTGGCCACAAGTTTACAAACCAATCATGTCACCACACACACTCACGCACATGCACACCGCAGGACCGTTGACATACGGTCACACCCTCCGCTTGGATAAACAGCGGTGCAAACCTGGCGTACGCTGAGTGTCCATGACTTGCTGTTAAAGGGCGCAGTAATGCACAATTCTTGTTTTTCAAACAGTCCTTTCCCCATTTCAATCCACCGAACAATAAAAAGATAGTCTTTACAGTATCCATGTACACGAATCCTTAACAGCTTTAGCTTTTAATGTATGAAAGTAATCAAAGAAGCTAATGGTAAATGTTGATATTTTACTCAAGGGAATTTTAATATTAAAATTCTGCTTCAGTTTAAAGAATCTTAGTCAGATTTAGAGTGCTATTTGCAGTTCTGGAAACTATCTAAGAAGAATATTGATGTCTCCAGTTGGGAACAACAGGGTTCAAATGGTTAGATACAGAAAAGTTAGTTCCAGTGCTGGGGAAATCCAGAATACAGGGGAATTAGCATAATGTTAAAATAAGGACACTTCAATACTGGACTGTTCTCACAGTGGAATTATGGAATTCTCTTCCCTCTGAAGGCTCTGGATACTGCTAACATAAATTTCTGAAAAAGATTTACAGATTTTTTTTTTTTTTAAATTGGGTAAACATATGCATCAAACATTGTCAAACTGAGTTATAGTCTCATTGAATGGTGGAACAGGCTTGATAGGCTGTACTACCCTTGTCTCTTCACAACTGACTCTGCTCCCCTTCGTGGATACTGTCAGGCTGAACAATAATCTTCACAATCTCAGTCAAGACATTTTAACAGGTGGACGTGGAACACCCCACTTATTACTCCAAATCAAAAAAAAACAAAAACAGAAGGTGCTGGAAAAGCTCTGCAGGTCAGGAACTATCTGAAGAGAAATCAGAGTTAACATTTTGGATCCGGTGACCCTTCCTCAACAAAACAGTTCTCCCTGGTGTCTTGACAAATATTTATCGCTCAACAACCATCATGGACAGATTACATGGTTATTTACAGCTGATGAAATCTTGAGCCCAAAATGGCTGCCATATTTGCCTATATTGCAACAAACTATCCATCAAAAGTACTCGTTACATTACAAAGTACTTTGGGGTATTCTGAAGTCATAAAAGATGCTATACAAATGTACCTTCAGTCATAAATCAACATGACACTAGTAAGATGGAACCTCCAAGAAAATCTAATGCGGTAATACCAAACATTAAAAAAAACACAATTTAGTTCAACACAATCAATTCTCCTCCCCCACGCCCCCCAACCCCATTTCCCTATTTTGTCATCAAGTTTGCTCAGTAGCATGTTAACTCCAGCAGAGGGTGTAGTGGGAGCATGATTATAAAGGATGTCATTGACCAAGTTTTGTTGCAAAAACAAAGTTGTTGGAAAAGCTCAGCAGAGCTAGCAGCATCTGTGAAGAAAAACATCAGAGTTAACGTTTCAGGTCTGGTGACCCTTCCTCAGAACTCCTGTAGAAGTTTTGTTGCAGTGTGGCATCCCCTACTGCATTAATTATATTTGTCCTTGTAGGGTTTTGTGCTTTCAGGAACTTGGGAAAAAGTGCGAATTGATAATATTGTAGTGTGTGTAAGGATTACTTGTCACACACTTGCCAGTTGCACATAATGACTAGCACAGCTTGGTTCCCTAATAGTCACTGCAACGTCCCTCATTTGGCTACTATATAGTGGGAACTCAGCATAGCAGTTTTGTTCTAATATTACACAAAGTGCAATTACAATTAAATTTGCATTAAAATGGCCCTCAACTGTTATGTAGGTGATGGTTCGCTAACCATTTCTTACCAAATGCCTCATGGCAATTTCTACAGTTATAAGTAACTGTTCCAATGCACTTTTGACTGCCCTGTCATCTGTGAATTTGGGATATCCCAAAACATCATTATCTTACATCAAGTCCCATTCACCCATCACCCAAGTTCTCGCTGATCTGCATTGGCTCAGTCAATTTTACAATTCTCATCTTTTTAGTTTCAAATCCCTTCAAGACCTCTCACTTTGTATATCTGTAATTTCCTCCAGTCTCTCAGCTCTCTGAGATATCTGAGCCTTTTGAGATTCTCAATTTTAATCACTTTGCCATTGACGACTGTGCCTTCAAATGCTAGGCCCCAAGTTCTTGAACATTCTCCCTAAATGTTTCCATCTCTCTACCTTGGTTTCATTTTTTAAGTGGCCTATATAAACTCTACCTCTTTGACCAAGAAGTCAGTCACCTGTCCTAATACCTCCTTTCATGGCTCAGTGTCAGGTTTTGTGTTCCAGTGCTTCTGGAAGGAATCTTGGAATGAGGTATTATAGTAAAGGTTCTATGTAACACAGGTGGTTGTGTCAGAGGAATGTGGAGACACCGGCAATAATTTAATGCATTTGGACAGTTTGACCATTTTGACAAAAAAAAATTGCTGACTTTTCATTCATCTGGAAAGTAATAAAACTACTTTTGCAATCTATCTTGGTGCTGAAGTGAGAGCCCTATGTTTATCCAATGGGTGCTGAAATACTTTTCTGTTCTGAAAAGCTTTTTATTTGGAGAACCTTTAATATGAGGAGAGAGTGCAGATTTTGTTTTCCACTGGAGCAAAAGAACAAGAGGAACTCTTAACAGGTGTGCACATAGTAAATGGAGGGAAAAATTACTCCTGTTGATTTATGAATTAGGTACTCAAAAGAAGAAAAATAAGATTAGCGGGGCATGGAAATTTACTTTTTAAGCAGAGGGTTGGTAGGCCACAAAATGTCCCCAGTGGAAGGAGCAGAGAAAATAAATCCGTAATAGTTTCTAAAAGAGAAAATTTTATAAATGTATGTAACTTTTTTTTTTGAAAAAGCCTTTGAGGAACTGCCAGGGAAATCATAGAGCGGAAGTGAGACAAACCAGTCCTTCAGTTTTGTTCTGGTCTTCAGTAGAATTATTGTCGAATCAGTAGCTCAACTCTCTGTACATGTCTTTGCTTCATATCCCTCAACACCCTTACTCAAAAAAAACCTTCTTGATCTCTCTTTTTAAAACGTTTTGATTAGCTCTCAATAACTGTAGCCTTTTTGAGGGAATGAGCTTTAGGTTTCCAGCACCCTTTGGGTGATAAAACAATTTTTCTGATTTTGTGGCTGAATACCCTGCTCTAATCTTAAGACTGTTCTTGTTCTCGGCACATCCCGCCAGAGGGAATAGTTCCTCTGGATTTACCCTATGAAATACTTCTAGCATTTTAAAGATCTTGATTAAACTGTCACTTGATCAACACAGTTTGTTCAGAGTCCAAGTTTACATGTAATTGGCTGACTTTTCTGATGTCAGATTCTATGAAGTATTGTGGAGAGTATTATGGAAATATTGTAAATTCATTGTACAATTGTTCACCCTGATAGACATGTAGCTTGAGGCATGCATTAGAAAATGCTACTTGTTTAAGTATAGAGAAAAGGTCTAGAATGTGAATGGACAGCATTTGTACAAAATGTTGACATTTAATTGTAAAGGTTACCAAAAAAAATCCATCAAGGTTGTAAATGTACTGTGTTGAGGTTTGGTTCAAGAAATATCCAATACCAAAGAGGAGAGGAGATGTCTTGCAGTTTAAGGTTCAATTTATGCAATATACAGCACAGTAACAGGCCGTTTGACTCACTTGCTCCATGTTGGTGCTAATGCTCCTCCAAACAAGTCTTCTCCCCAGCCTATCAGCATACTGGTGTTCTGTTTCTTTTTCCCTCATGTATTTACCTAAATTCCCTTTAAAGACATCTATGCTACTTGTCTCCTCCACTCTGCATCGTAACTATTCTACTGGGAAAACGATTTCTCCAGTATTCCCATCGGATTTATTGATTTATCTTACATTTGTAGCTCTTGATTTGAATTCTACCACACATCAGCTCTAAATCTGCCCTCCCGATCCTCTCTGTAGTTTTAAAGATACCTATCGGGTCACATGAAGAGAATTTAACTGGTTAATTGTACATGTTGAAAATATTGAATCCTTGGTTTTAAGTGGATTGGGGACCTCTGTATCTCCCAAATATTGTAGTAATGAATTTCTCAAACGTTCAAGTGGACATTTGAAATTTGTCATTGTATACAAGCTGTGTATGTTTCTTTTGGAAATGTGATATTATTTCCAATAATTATAATGTTCTGATGTTGGGTAATAATCTGATTTTTTTTCATGTTTTGAAGCATGTACTGTTGGGTCTGAAATTCATCCTGGCATTTGCCATTTCTGATATACCAAGAGACATTCGTAATAAAGTCGCCAGGCTGGAATTCGAGTCCATGGAAGCCCTCAAACATAAGGTAAAAATAGTGAGTTTTATTAAGATAGCTTGTATTAAATTATATGTTTAAGATGTGATGAGTAATTCATCCTCGTGAATTTCCAAATCGTGGTGATACACATTTTTGAGAGATTATCTCCTGGTTTTCATTCTTTTTCTATGCATACCAACTACCTACCAGCAACAAATGAGGTCGATTTTCTAGATAAAGTACTAACTTGCATAGACCAAGCTTCTACAAACAACAAAGAGATAATGATCCGAATCTGTTTTACTACCATTTGATTTGAGACACCAGCATACCAGGCAGAATTCTCTTGTCCATGGAATCCATGGGTAGCCATGGGTTCTTTTGTCTTAACTGTGTGGGGCCTCAATTTAATGTCTCATCCAAACTATGTTATGCTCGAAAACCAATTTGACATGCAATTTCAAAGGAGCTGTATAGACCACTGTACATGTAGATTCTGATATGTTCATCTGTTGCACAGCCAAAAATTGAAGATGATGTCCTTTGTACAAACAAGTACTTGGAAAACATTTACGCAGGCAGGTTAAATTTCACAAATACATCATGCTACTGGTGTTGACACTTAATGCCTGGGGCCAAAATTTGAAAGAACCTGGAACCAATGACCAGACTTAGTTTTTAACATCCAAACCATTATTCATTATGTATGTATCCAGAAATGTTAGCTAACAACATCTGATTAGTGTTAAGAGTATTTACAGTACAAACAAACTATTTGGTCCAACTGGTACATGTCAATGTTATGTCCTATTCAAGCTGTCTCCTGCCTTCTTTCATCTCACTGACCTAAATATATCCTTATTTCTTTTTTTCCTCCTGTATTGATCTTTCTTCATTTTAAATAGATTGATAATGGCTACATCAACTTTTCTGTGTGGTAGCAAATTGAACTTTCTCTCTACTCTCCAGTACAAGTTTCTTCCGAATTCCCTGTTGGATTGGTTACTGATTATCTTACACTTATGTCCTTTAGTTTTGGTCTCCCCTACAAACGAAAACATCATCTCCGTTTGTGCAATAATCTTAAAGATCTCCATTAGGTCAGCCTTCAGTTCCCTCATTCCAGTGAAAGCCTGTTCAAACAGAGGATTTATAAAGTGGAGCCTTACTTGGCTACCTGCCTTCAACATTGAAAAAGAGCATTCTGTAAGTGGTTAATGCCTAAATATCTGTTAGTATTATGCAAAAATATGAGATGAAAACTAATAAAAGTTAGCAATAATTTCTAGCGTGGGGCTGGGCTGATTATTCCACAGAATCTGTCTTAACTTTTTCATGTTTTACTGTCAGATTTGAAAGCAAATGGCAGAAGTAGATCATTCAATACTTGCAGCACAAGGTTAGGGCTACCCGACGCTGACTACGGTTGAAGTGACGTTTATTATCACAGTCGGCCACTCTGCTAATTCTGTCATCAAAGCAGTCTTGCTGAAAGTGGTGTTTTGGGGATTTGGAAAGATTCATCATATCCTTTTAAACGTTATAGCTGTCTATCATTCTGTGTGAAAGTTGATCTTAGTAAAATTTCACTTTCAACCTTAGGTTATTCTTTACCCATCATCTTCCTTGATTTAGAAGATGACTAAAATTTACTACAAGAATTCAGTGGCCATACAGAGTTTAAGCAATATCAATATTTGATATTGTTTGGCATTTTTCCCGGAGTGCAATCTCAAATTTTCGGATTTTCACTGAAACAGATATGATGGAGGCTGCGTAATTTGAAAAGTGATATTTTGCTTTACACTCGGATGTTTTTCTTGAAGTAGAAATTGGCCATCAAATTAGTAACGCTCAACACTTGTTCCCGATCTAGAGAAGGCCATTCAGCCTTTTCTGCCATTCTGTCGGATCATTGCTGATCTGCACGTCAACTCCCTGTTCGATATCCCTTGACCCTTACCCAGTAAAAATATTTGTTTCACTTCAATTGATATCCAGCCAGAACAGCTTTTTGGTGGGAGAGAGTTCTAGATTTCCACTACTGTTTGTGGGAAGAGATGCTCTTAATTTTGCCATGAATGATTTAGGCTTTAGTCTGAAGTTTCCATTCCTTGTTCTGAACGCCTCACCAGAGGAAATGTTTCTCCACATCTATTCTTTCCTTTTGTCTTGGGTTAATTTCTAATTTAGCATTTTGTTTTGCTTTGTAAATTGTACACTCTCCAAAACTGAAGTCCTCATCTGAATTATATCCAGAATATGCTGGAGGTACGCAGGTCAGGCAATAGAACAGTGCAAAGATATTTAAATGTTTTACGTCAATGACCGTAATGGCTCTGGTCAGTTCTGTCAATATGTCTTTGAAATTTTTAACTCTTCTGTCTCCACAGATGCTGTTAGATCTGCTGAGTACTTCCAGCACTTTCTATCCTCATTTCAGACTTTGTGGTGTTTTGCCTCTGAGTCTGAATGGTTTGGAACTACATTCCAATTTATCAAGAGATAACAAGGTGTAGAGCTGGATGAACACAGGCCGAGCAGGAAAGCTGACATTTCGGGCCTAGATCCTTCTTTAGAAAATCATTTTCTGAAGAAGGGTATAGGCTCGAAACGTCAGCTTTCCTGCTTCTCTGATGCTGCTTGGCCTGCTGTGTTCATGCAGCTCTACACCTTGTTATCTCAGATTCTCCAGCATCTGCAGTTCCTACTATCTCTTCCAATTTATCAACATTGTTTCAGTAATAGTGCTGATAGGCCAGCTGTATAAGGGTAAATTACCATTGACCGGATCAGAGACCCTGCTTGGGAAATTCCAAGGGTTTGGACTGGCTGACGGCTGGATAAATTGGGTTGTATCAAGCTTTGCAAATTTTTAAAATTGGACACTTACTACTGGCAGCAGTAAACCAGGAATGAGATGTGCCCAGACCACCAGGAGGCATGCACCTCCACTAAAACCAGCCAGAATCACTTTGGGTTTCTACCAATACCCTAATTGTCGGCAGATTTTGTCAGTCTTCAGGATTATAGCAAACATCCAGAGAGATCACAAACAAAATTAGAAATTGCTGGTGAAATGCAGCAGGTCTGGCAGCATCTGTAACGAGAAAGCAGAGTTAACATTTCCGGTCCAGTTACTCCTCTTCAGAACCTTGTTTTGTCTTTGTTTTATTTTATCTGGATAGATCACTTGTGTAAAGCATGTATTTTTCTTGGACATAGTGCTACCTTCAGAAGGACATGTTCAGGTTTGCAGTAATCAATGTTTCTAAACTGCTGACCCAATTATTTTCTTATGCTGGTATATAGAAAGATTCTGGAGGCATTGTACAAAAAGTCATTCAGCGTCAGCATTAGGTTATCACTTGGGCTGTTTAAGATTGGAATTCCCATACTTAAATTCCCTTAAAACAATAGTTCACTAATTTTCATTTGAAGGAGCCCTTTTTCAAGTGAATTAATCAGAAACCCCATCCATCTAAAAGAATACCACACAGTATTCATAATACAAAATTATTGGATATAAGCAGTATTAATGTTAGGAATGCAGGTTATACGGATATCGGTGAGATGTGTGTGGTTGTTTCTCACTACACAGTCTGTCTATTTTGATGCGATGGCATGAATAAAGCATACTCCACTTCTAGACAAGGCCCTGAACTTGTATTTTTATCTTTTCTTTTGATTTCACTGTACGTAAAGTATTTTTTTAAAAGCTTGCTTCTTTTGAACAAGGCTGAGCTCATCTGGTGTCCACCAGAATCCCTGGTAACTTCAGCTATAGCTGCTGATATTCCTGCCGCTGTCAGGGCTCCAGCAAGCGCAGTGCACTGTGAGCCAGTATGGTCAGCCCACCGTGCATTGTACATGAAGTGGCTGAACGCAGCTCCTGGATCTTATCTCCAATTATTGATGAGGATACATCAACTCTGATTTCTCTCCACAGATGCTGCCAGACCTGCTGAGCTTTTCCAGCAATTTCTATTTCATTTCTGATTTCCAGCATTCCCCTTCTGCCTCTTCCGCTCTGACCATGGCATTCTTGGAGGTTTCCCACTCATAACGCAGGTCCCACTTGTAAGCAGTTGCACATCATCTTACAGACTTCCAAAAATTCTCTACAAAATTAAGTTTGAGCACTGTCCAAGAAAGACTACATTGTAATACTTACTGGAGCTATCTTGATTGATATTTGTTGTTGTTTTTTTTTTTTTTTTTTTGAAAACTCACCTTACCAAAGACAACACAATGAGGCTCCTCATCGAAGTTGAGACATGTAGCCCAGGGCTTGAGAACAATACACTGTTAGCTTAAGGATTTCTTTCCTTCCTTGTCTCCAAGTAATATGCTTTGCAGAGAAGCTGCCAACTAAAGGATATAGCAGATGAGCTCTGGGCTGTCAATTTACTGTCGGACCCTGGTCGTTGTTTGGAAACAAAAGGTCGAATGTTGACTGTAAATTTTTCAAGGTACAAATATGATATTTTAAACTGATTTCTTTTCTGAACATTTTAAAATCTTCCATTCAACATGGTGAGATACCTGTAAAGTGCAAATTTTAATTAGTTATGCTAGTGGCCAGAGCTTTGCCTAGTTAAAGCTACTCATTGTGTATCCCCCCCTCATAGAGGTTTTGAGATAACAGATACTTGTTTCATTGTAAATGAACAGGATCAGGCTTTTAAAACCCAGCTGTGGGATGTATGGAGATGAAAAAAAAATGCACAGCAGCACATCCCCTGACCGTTACAGTAAGTCAGAGACATGTTGTTTTAACTCACCTGGGGAATTCTACTATGACATGATGCAAGCACTCACTCACGGCTTGTAACTCAAAAGAGCAATATTTGCAAGTACTTCATACATTCACATGCAGGATACAGTAGCATGCAAGTATATTTTTCATTGTGTTGCTGTCAGTGAATAAGGCTGCTTTATAACAATAGGGGTGTTTAGCAGTAATTTGCAATGGCCAAAGTGTTAGATGGAGAGGATGTGACTGGTTCTTTTAATAGAAGGGAACCTTCAATGGTTAAGACCTACATGCAGATCTAATCTAGGAAATATAACTAGATGTGCTTTCTTTCGTACCCTGAATATCTAGTTACTAGAGTGTCTAGGCTGATGCTTCAGTCTAATTGAGGAAAGCACAAACTTTGGATGTGATGCTAAATGGAGGCCCTGCTTGATGTGGTCATCGGTGTAAAATGGCATGGCACTGCTAGTTTCCTTGGTGGCCTGGGCAATATTCTTTTGTAAATCAGTACCACAAACAGATGTTCAAATTGCTGTTTGTGGGAGCATACTGTGTGCAAATTGGCTGTTGTATTTCCTACAAAATAACAACCATGACACTTTGTCTGTAAAACACTTCAAAAAATTATTTCTGTGAGGTGTCTGCAATCGTGAAAGGTGCCATAGAAATGCAATTAATTTTAGAGTTGTCTGTAGGGTTGTGAATTCATTTTGACATTTTGCTGTCCAAATTTTCTTTCTTGAAACTACAGTAGTGTTTCATTAACTTGAATTTTCTCAAATCCCATTCAGCACAAATCAGTATTGCCTCGGGCAGGGAAGGTTATTGGTGTGCATGATGTATCCAGTGCATTTTAAGACAAGGTCTGAAACTTGATAGAAAATGGGATTAGGATAAGTTTTGTTGGTTTTATTTTAAAATGCAACTCATGTCCTTTTTAGAAAAGGCAATCTTCCCTCCTGGGCCTATGTGACCCCAGTCCGATACCCAATGCAAATGCTTCTTACATGTACTCCTGAAGTAGCCTCATAAGTTGACCTAGACTCGACACTTCATGAAGGTTCATCGCTCCCTACTTAGAAAACTAGGAAAGGGCAGGGCCACCTAGAGAAACACATTTTAAATTCATTCACAATCACTTTCAATATATTGGGAGGCAAGAAATTAGTTATAACTCAGTTATAATTGGAACAAATCTGTGGTAAACACATTCCCACGCAGATACCTAGCAGTGCATCATCTTTTTTCTTTACCCCGACTATAGTAAACATCCAGAATGTGCCACTGTTCCCTGGACAGCTGACTGGGACTGAAGTTTTAAATTGAAAGAATCAAGTTGTAAGCTTGATTTGTTTTGTATTTTTGATTTGTTTTGTATTTTTGGGTGCAGCTTTAAAAATGTGTTGTCCCAAAAGAGTGAATTAAAATTGCAGCTGTTATAGATCCCAGCTCTTGCTGTCAGTTGGAAATAATATGACATTGTTCAAAAGGCTGAATGAATAAAAGGCTCCAAATTGCTTCAGTTATTTCTTCAAAAACCTTTTATGAAATGAATGTGAGCTTCCACTCCAATATGATCATGTACATACAAATCCCTTTAACATTTGTGCACCATTTGCAGAAGGCTGTTCCATAACATTTTAACAAAGCAAAGCAGATGAATCTAATGTAGTTATACTTGAACTGGTCACCATATTAATATAATTTTACAATTTCTGTGGGGATCAATTTAAGCAACTGAGTTTGTTATATCTGGTATTTCTGTTGACGAGAAATTAAATATTCATTTGGCAAGGGCATTGGTAGTGATTGATCTTTCACTAGCAAGACATTATCAAACTGTGAAGATACAATTTATTCACACCATCGCAACTATGTTTTTGATCATGGCTTTTTAATAGCTGCGGAGGCGAACATAACACATACATCAGTCACACAGGATGGAGCCTAAAATAAGCGTGCAATCTGTTTCTTCACCTGGAGAAGTTGCATGTTAACTCTGGGCTGTGCTTTCAATGTTATTGCTAGCTGTTAGCAGATCGACCTCATGTCTTACACCCGGTTCAACATTGGTGTTTGGATAGGGTGTAAAATCAGACACACTGTCAGCATCCATTCTAAATCCAACAGTAAAAGTGAATATTTAACTCTGAATATTAAGTTGTTAAATCACTCATTATTCATTCATTTACTTTTAAACTTCTGAGATCTGAAATTTGAGAATGTGATTTTAATTGTTTCTCATTCCATTCCATTTAAGTATTTATCTACTTTCCTCTATAAAAGCTGCATTTTTAAAAAATTATTCGTGGGATATGGACAGCACTATCTAGGCCAGCATATTTACTTTGTCTTGAACTGAGTGACTTTTCTGGCCATTCCAAAGGGTAGTTAAGTGTCAACCACGTTTCTGTGGGTCTGGAGTCACACTGAACAGGCCATACTGGATAAGGATGGCAGATTGTGTTCCCTGAAGGATATTAATGAGCCAGATTGTTGTAAAACTCTAGCTGGTATTTACATGGACACAATTACTGAGACTAGCTTTTTATTATGATTTTATGGTTACAAACTTTTTAATGCATTGAAATTCCCAGTAGCTATGGGATTACCTCTCACGTGTTCAAATTGTTACCCTAGCCTTTACTCCTGTTCCACAATGTCATCCAGCCAGCCTGCCTCTATTCTTTATAAACTGCAATCTGCTCACCTTTGGTTTGATGTCCATGGCTGTGTCCTGTTGCTGTTCACTCAATTCCTTAGTCTCGAGCATTTAAATGGGAGCTAAATTGGAAGAACCTTGACATTGACCTCCACCTCAACATTCCAGTCAGTGAAACTGGAGCCTTGTGTTCAGTGTCATGAGCCTCCAGATATGTACTACAGATCTAACTTCAAGTTGACCTTTTTGTCCAAACATTGTCCCCACAACCTCAGAGCAACCTCCTTTCTTGGATCTGTGCATTGTTTCTATCTCTGACATCAATCATCCATTCAGCTTGTGTGAGCAAGACTGCCATAAGGAATTGCAGTTTTGTCCTGAGTTTTAGTTCATAGGGAACTGCGTTGAGAACTCCCAGACTTAATAGATAATGGAGAAAAATTATTTTCATCCTTTAAAACTGAGTGGTACTTGGATTAAAATAGAGGTGAAAGAAATTATTCATTTCCTTCCAAGGTTGCACTTGACTGTCGGTATTGAAACGTAATGTTGTAATTACTGTGGTGGTAAGAGCAAAGTTTTTTTAGATACTTCTTGTAAATATGTTTGTTCCCACAGCAATTGAAGGAAGCTGATGAGTCACTCAAAAAGGAACAGCAAAATGTTGAAATGAGAAAAGAAGACAAAGCCAAGATGATTTAGTGTAATGTGAGCATGCCTGACCTTAATCAAATTAAGCCATATACCAAAATGTATTATAGACAAGTAGTGGGTGTGAAAAATATGCATTGCGTGAAAACTCTACAAAGCATGGTGCTAAATATAATCAATTTATTTTCTAAATTTATTCACTCACTCTCTTGCATGAAGTGTTATCATTGGTCTATGCATCTAAAATATGATAAATTGATTTCCTCTAGAATAAAGCATTAACCAGGACATGTACATATGTGAGGGGTGTCTGTGTGTATGAGAAAATGTGGATGGAGAAGGATGATCAGAGGAAGATTTATCCTAGTAAAGGCACATTTGAGCTACAGCTTCCAGATGACCAACATTTCAAGTGGAGAGCTGGCAGTGTTCCCAGTCACTGTGCAGTGTGAATGCTCAGGACATGCGTGGGTAAAAATTTCAAATACTCTTTATCTTGAATTTGTAAAAGATCGAATGATTTGAGACTTTTTTAAAAAGAACTATAAATCACAATAAATAAGAATGCACTACTTGAACTTTGAGCACTTTAATTTGCAGAGTGTATTGGAGAAGTGACTTTAAAACCAAACTGCTGAAATAAATAGGGAGAGAGGGGGACGTGGATAGAGAGGAGACCCTCTCCACCTATCTTCTCCTCCATTTCTGAAGATGGGTCTAGGCCCGAAACGTCAGCCTTCCTGCTCCTCTGATGCTGCTTGGCCTGCTGTGTTCATGCAGCTGTACACCTTGTTATCTCAGCATCTGCAGTTCCTGCTATCTCTGCTGAAATTAATAATTCTTTCTTTACATACATTTTCATTGACCAGCTTCATCTTATCTTGATGGTAGCCCTTGGGGTTCATGGGTTTTTTATTTCTTTTTCACTTACGAAAGAGTCCAAAAATATGATAGTCACTAATAAATACACAATGGATTTCAGGATAAACTTCTTTACCCAGAGAGTGACCAAGATAGGCAACTCACTACCACAGACTGGGTGGTGCATTTAAACAGAGATTGGTCAACATATGAGGGGGATGGGAGGAAAAGCTGTGAAGAAGTGGGAAGTTGCAACACTCAGTTCTCAATTGTGATGTTGTCATTAAACATGCTGATGTGATATGCTGTAACTGTCTACTGTGCTGATCTTTACCTAGCAGAGACCAAATGACAATTCTGACATTTTCCTCCAATTTCCTAATGGCTTATGTATCCACCACCAGCCATTCATACACTTTCCAGAGCTGTCAGTCAGTCATCAAACTCTTAGTACCCCACTTTGCCTCTGTCCTAACATGCACAAACAGGACTGCTGCAGAATACCCATTATTTCAGCCAGGGCAGCACGGTGGCTGCCTCTCAGCACCAGTGTGATGCCACCCATGGGTGACTGTGGGTTTCCTCCCATGGTGTACAACTGTGTAGGTTAGGTGCATTAGCTGTGGTAAATTTCCTTTAGTGTCTGGGAATGTGCAGGCTAGGTGGATTAGCCATGGGAAATGCAAGGGCACAAGGATCAGGTTGGGTGGTAGGTCTGGGTGGGATGCTCTTTGGAGAGTCATTATGGACTGGCTGGGCCGAGTGGCCAGCTTCTGTAGCGTAGGGATTCTATGTTTCTGTTCATCCATGATTCCTCCAATGACCTCTGGCACAGATTCCTTGCCCTCAGGTGTAACCCATGGTCATCCTAACCCTTTGATTTTGCATCCCACCCCAGGACAGTTTCTTCCTTGAGCAGAGTCCCAACCAGTCACCCTCCACTGAGTTTTTTTTCTTGCATTAAAAACCTCTTATTTCGAGCAACTCACTTCCCAAATAAATGGTGTTGCTTTGAGCACCCCCATGCATCCTAGCTATATCCTGTGGGATGTGTACAATACCCATTTTGTCCTACTCCAGGACCCCCCCACCCTACGACTATATACTTGCTTTGACGGCTGCACCATTTCCACTTTCAGCCCTTAACTGGAAAAATTTGACTTTCTGATTTCCACCGTTCCCTCACTTCATCTGGCCCAACTTCCCTTCCCTGATTTTTTTTTTTTTTTTGGTTTCCGATCTGAGAAAAGGTAACAACCAATATTAAGTCCACTGCATCTCTCTGCTATCTCGCATGCATATTCTCAGACCCTGTTTTCCTGTAAGGGCTCTTATGATCTCCTAGTTTCTCTGTCTCTATCAAAATATTTAGGGATGCGAGCCTCCATATCATCACTTCTGCTGTCTTCCTTTTCCCTTGACCAATGATTCTCATCCTCCCATTTACTAGGAGTAATGGGGACTTCAACGTCCATTCTACTTCTCACACTTCATGTTATCATCTTCCCTGCCTCACAGGACTATGTTAGGGCATCACTTGTCCTTATCTTTCATTTCTCTAACCTCTGCATCCAATAGGTCAGACTCTGTCAATTCCACCTACCATTCATCAAAAACATCTCACACTTTGTTTTCACTATTCCAAAGAGCCTGTAGCCTCATCTACACACTAGTCCAGCCCTAAAGCACCACAAACAACACTCATTTTCCTGTGATACTTTTCTGTACAACACCTGCTTCTCATTGGACAAAGACCTAAACACTTTTTCCAAGTATAAAAAAAATCATTGGCATCAGGCAACTACTTTGTAAAACAGCTTATTCAGACTACAACTTTGACCCTGAGCTTTTTGTTGGTTGTCATATTAATTCTCTGTCTTGCTCCCCTCTTGACTGCATGTAGCTGATAAAGTTCTATTGAAGCTCAACACAAGTTCAAAGAACAGTAACTCTCATTAGGACATTTACAACCTTGCAGACTCAACACTATAAAGTCATAGAGACAGACCCTTCGGTCCAGGCTGACCAGATATTCTAAATAAATCTAGTCTCCATTTGCCAATGTCCCTCCAAACCCTTCCTATTCATATACCCAGCTAGATGTCTTTTAAAATGTTGTCATTGTACCAGCCTCCACCACTTTCTGGCAGCTGATTCCATACATGCACCACACTCCACATTTTATAAACCTCTATAAGGTCACCCCTCAACCTCTGATGCTCCAGGTAAAATAGCCCTCGTCTATTCAGCCTCTCCTGATAGCGCAAACCCTCCAACCCTGGCAACATCCTTGTAGATCTTAACTGAACCCTTTCAAGTTTCACAAATCCTTCCTATAGCAAGGAGACCAGAATTACACACTGTATTCCAATAGAAGCCTAACCAATATCCTGTACAGTTGCAATTTGAACTCCCAACTCCTATACTCGATGCACTGACCAATAAAGGCAAGTATACCAAATGCCGCCTTCACTATCCTGTCACCTGTGACTCCACTTTCAAGGAACTATGAATCTGCGCTCCAAGGTCTCTTTGTTCAGCAACACTTCCCAGGACCTTACCATTAACTGTAGAAGTCCTGCCCTGATTTGCCTTTGCAAAATGCAGCACCTCACATTTATCTAAATTAAACTCCATCTGCCACTCCATTGGCCCATTTGATCAAGATCCCGTTGTACTCTAAGGTAACCTTCTTCGCTGTCCATCACACCTCCAATTTTGGAGTTATCTGCAAACTCAGTAACCATAACCTCCTACATTCACATCCAAATCATTTATATAAATGATGAAAAGCAGTGGACCCAGCACCGATCCTTGTGACACACTGCTGGTCATCAGCCTCCAGTCTGAAAAGCAACCCTCCACCACCACGCTCTGTTTTCTACCCTTGAGCCAGTTCTGTATCCAAATAACTAGTTCTCCCTCTATTCTGTGTGATCTAACTTTGATAGCCAGTTTACCATAAGAACCTTGTCAAATACCTTACTGAAGTCCATATAGATCATGTCCACTGATCTGCCCTCATCAATCCTCTTTGTTACTTCAAAAAACTGTGTTTAAAAATTCTAGATCATAACTTATGTATTGTTTGCACTTCTACTAGACCTTTCAGTTAAAAATTTGATGCATTACCTCCTTTTGGCTTAGCACCAGAACCTTCTGTCCAATTACAGATCTCTGCCCTACCACCACCCTTTCACATTGCTTAAACCCTGCTAAGTTTTTAATCAGTCCTGATTTAATGTTGAGGCTGATGACACTTCTTTTCATATTCCCTCCACAGACGCTAGGAAACCTGCTGAGTATTTCCAGCATTGGTTGTAAATACGAAATTAAAAACAAATTCTGGCTCTTGTATTAGTGAGAAGAGGCACGTGTGAACCATAAACACTTACATTTTCTAACTGAGCAAAATGCCTGTTTCTAAGTAATTCGGGACAATACAGTCTTCTGGAATAAGTGTAAAGCTCTCTCATGCTTTCATTGCCCACAGGGGTTTAGGTTAACAAATTTATCCTTACAAACACCTACTGAACATTCTGAGGAAGGGTCACTTGACCCAAAACGTTAACTCTGATTTCCTTTCACAGATGCTGCCAGACCTGCTGAGCTTTTCCAACAACTTGTTTTGTTTCTAACCTAGTGACCATGTGTTGACTTTGTTCCCAAATGACTTTTGAGGAATATTTGAAAGTTAAAATTGAGTGTGCATTAGATTAACAACAGTGGACTGACCTGGTTTCCCTCATGTTAGGATGCAGAATATAGAGCTACAGTATGGAAACAATAACTCAAATTCCCTGCTAGAATATACAGGACAGGAATAGATCCCTTGATTTAAATACTGGTAATTGGCACTTGTACCGTGAGTGTTCACCTTAAGTGTATGCTAGTTTGGTGAATCTGGGTATACTGATCCAAAGCACGGATAATAATGCTGCACACCCATGCAATGATATTTATTGGCACCGCCATCAGCTCCTGAAACTTACGTTTTACGAATTGTACCAAGTTTCCATAGCACAGCCCAGTTCCAAATTGCCACCCTTCCAGCTACAACATATAAGCTCTAGCTGGATTTTTGGTAGCTGTGGACTTTTAAGCAAATATATCTAAATGTGCCACTTTTCAGATGGGAGGTGAAGCATTACTTTTGACGTAGTAAGTGCACATTTTCCCCTAACAAGACAAGAACAAGAGTAGAATCAACAAATATTATTGTAGTACACCATCTGACCTGAAACCGTACTGCCATTCTGTCACTGTGACCATGTCAAAATCTAGGCACTTCCTAACAGCACCGTGATGTTTAGTCATGCCATGGATTGCTGTAGTTCAAAGGGTGAATCACCATTTCCTTCTAAAGGGGAATTAGAAATGGACAATAAATGCTGGTCTCAATAGTGACACATCTCTCAAGATATTAAGAAAAATAGGATGGTTCTTTATACTGAAGCTAAACCATATTTAAATGTTTGTATATTCAGAACCCCAAAGTGTGGAAATGCATGTATAATATGCCATCCATTCAATAACCTGATGAATTATTTGAGATGTACAGTCTACATGGCATCTATCATCTCTTAGTCCATTGTACAATTACATTTGTGTTTGACATACTGCAAATCTTGCAAAAATGTTAAGCAGAGTCTGGAATGAGCCCCTAAAGTACCATGCAACTTGCATTTTTATATCACCTTTTAAAATAGTAAAATATTCCAAAGCATTTTCAAGAAGCATTATTAAATAAAATTTAACACCATTCCAAGGCATATATTAAAGAAACCGATAAGTAGAGGGAGTTGGCGAGGGAATTCCAGATCTTAGTATGGCAGTGCTAAGACTTTGAGGTGTATTTTTTCCTGGTTTCTTTTGAGAGATTGAACGAGAGGCATTGAGCAGTCTACAGTAACAAACAGCTTGAGGGGACTTGGGTTTTTTTTTTAAAAACAATAGAAGCAGCCTGGATTAATGTGGCCAGCCCTCATAGACCAAGGTTTCTAGTTTTATTTAAGCTTTTAGATTTGGCAGAAGCTGCTGGAGTTTAAGTAGAAGCAGCTATCTTCGTCCTTTCACTCGATTACAACTAGAAATCGGGGTTTCATTCCTATTGTGGGCACTGCAGGAAAGAAAGTGATTTCCGAATTAACAAGGTGCAGAGCTGGATGAACACAGCAGGCCAAGCAGCATCAGAGGAGCAGGAAGACTGACGTTTCGGGCCTAGACCCTCTGATTTCTGAATTGGCCTTTTTGCTAAGGGGTGGGTTTATGGAATGACATTAATATTAGACCAGTTAATTAGTAACAGTTACTGTATCTATTATTCTGTTAATTTTCCAATAGAGGAGTTATTCTAAGTTCTTCTTTGTTGTATTTTAACTATAGAGTTTGAATAAATGTTTTGCTTAACGACCAGTTGAATTGCACCTGGAACACAACATTTTAATTTTGCCTTTAAAGTGAGAAAAAGTTAGGGTCTAGGCTGCCTTCATAAAATATTTTGAGGGGGTCTGGTCTGGTCCACGACATTAGGAACTAGAGAGCTGGAAGCACAGCTGTCAATAGTGAATGGATAAAAATGAGATGCTCAAAAGGCCAGAATTTAGAACAGCACAGACATCTTGTGGCTGGGTAGGCTAAAGCATGGAGCAATTTAAAAACTAGTTTGAAAACTTTTAAATTAAGACATTATCAGACAGTAAACAAAATGAATGAACAAACATCTACACGTTTAGAAAACAAGTTGAAAAATGGGGAACAGAATTTCAGAAGCTGAAATTTGCAAAGAGATTTCAATGCAATTTAAACAACTTCAATGTGTCAGTAAAATGGAATGTCAAAATATTACTTAAATCGTCCTAGTTTGTAGTCTCTGTACATCATTACCAATGTTCTTGTGCATTGGTCACTGAAAGCACACATGGAAGTGCAAAAACTGGAAAGCAAAATGGTATCAGAGATAGTAGGAACTGCAGATGCTGGTGAATCCGAGACAACAAGGTGCAGGGCTGGATGAACACAGCAGGCCAAGCAGCATCATAGGAGCAGAGAGGCTGACGTTTCGGGCCTAGACCCTTCATCAGAAAAAAAGCTTCATCTGATGAAGCAAAATGGTATGTTTGGTTAGGTGTTTATTATACAGCAAACTTTGTTTAATCAGCACTCAAACTAGTAAAAATTATATACCTGAAATAGCAGGCGTTTACTATATTATCATGATCTCTACAATGTCCGAGTAGTCAGTTGTGAGTGAGAGTGAGAAGACTGTCTGCTGATCCATTTTATTTAAGTAATTTATGCTGTAAATAACATAGAACAGTGTTGTGCATAGCCCCTGCATTACATTTCTATTATTGGGTTTTAACATGGTATAGACTTCTTGATCAACCAGTATATTCCTGGTCCCAAAAGCTATCAGTTAGTAAAAAGTATTCAGACTTATTTATGAATTTTGAAAAATTATCAATATAATTTCTTGGAAATGAAGTCAGCAGCTTAATGTATGATATTGTCTACAGAAAGTCAATTGACTTTGCAGGAAAGAAATCTTGAGTTAAGAAATGGGGTTTATGGCCTTTAATTGCCAGAAGGGTCTGGCTTTGTGCTAATGGTTGTCTAGCAATTCTTAGTCTTCCATTTTACAGACCTAAGTAGAGGTCAGTAAGAAGGAAACTCCAGGAGCTGCATTTTTCCTCTTGCTGTCAACTGGTGTTTAGAAATTGGATCATGTTTAGAAATTCATGAACCTCTGCCTGGCATAGTGGTGGGTGATATTGGACCAAAGTTTGGGAATGATGAGGTTGACAATGGTTACCTGTTTGTGTACCATGTGAAAACATGCTGATGCAATATGCAAAGGTAATATAGTGGACAATGGGTGTGGTAATGCTTAGGGACTGAAAACATGATTAAAATCTATCTTACTTGCATTCTCTGTTCATAGTTTGTTCTCTCTGGAGCCTTCCAGTGCTAACTGCTCAGGGCTAATTAAAAGCTGGAGCAAATTACTGCAGATGCTGGAATCAGTGCTGAAAACAACAAATGCTGGAGGATCACAGCAAGTCAGGCAGCATCTGTGGAGACAGCAAGCTAATGTTTTGAGTCTAGATGACTCTTCAGCAGAACTCAATGCATTGAGGAAGCTGAATTCAAGTTTAACATAGTTAAAACCTCTTGGAATAATTAGTGTAAGTAACAGTGCTTCTGTTGATAACCCAGCCAGGGGACAAGTGAAGGTGGTGTGTAGTAGGGGGATATTCTTCATTGGTTGGATCCATACCTGACACAAAAGATGATTGTAGTTCGGTGGTCAGTCATCTCGGCTTGAGGACATTTCTACAGGAGCTCCTCAAGTTTGTGTCCTAGGCTCCACCAATTCAGCTGCTTCAGCAATGACCTTCCCACTATCAAAGTCAGAAGTAGGGATCTTCACTGATGACTGTACGTTGTTCAACACCCTTCGCAACCTCTCGGATACTGAAGCAGTCCATGTCCAAATGCAACCAAAGCTAGACAATATCAAGGATCATCTTCAACAAGTGAGAATCTAACCATCACCCCTTGACATTCAATGGTGTAATCACCTTTAAATCCTCCATTATCAACAACCTGGAAGTTATCATTGACCAGAAACTGACTTGGACTAACCATATAAATACGGGGGTGGCAGTGGTTAGTTCTGCTGCCTCACAGCCCCTGGGGACCTGGTTTAAATTCCAGCCTCGGGCAACTGTCTGTGTCAGTTTGCAAATTCTCCCCGTGTCTGCTCGAGCTTCTTCCAGGTGCCCTGGTTTCCTCCCACAGTCCAAAGATGTGCAGGCTAGGTGGACTGGCCATGGAAAATGTGGGGTTTCAGGGATTTGGTAGGAAGGGGAGTCTGGATAGGAGCTGTTCGGAGGATCAGTGTGACTTTGTTGAGCAGAATGGCCTGTTTCCACTGTAGGGATTCTTTAGAAAAAAAACTGTTTCTGACTACTTTATAAAGCCCGAAAAGCTGAACCACGACCAAAATCTCTGTTCAGATTGCAATCAAGCTGGATCAGAGAATCTTGTATTAGTCTACGACTGTCAGCAATTTAATTTTGTTGACAAAAAACCCAGTGGATCGTGAGAAGTCATCAAATTCTGTTTCCAGCTCTTTGACTTCTTGGGATGTTGCCCAACCCATCTTAAAAAAAAATCATCTGAGGGTACTGTTGTCTTTTTGTGTTGTAGAATGCATCAGTGTTTGAGATGAAGGCAATATAGTTCTAATTCCAGATTCTAGTTGATGTTCAAACAAGTGGAAAGAAAAGAAAAAAATGTTATAATAAAGATTATTTTAATTAGAGATGCCTGATGAAAGTATCGAGTCTTTTATTCTGGATAGCAGTACAAAAGAGAAGAAACTGGCCATTTTGGTTACTGAACTGATGGCAAGACAGCTGGGAATAGTGGGACCTGATTACCAATATGTTCCTTCCATCATAGTTATAACTGCTCAGTTTGAAAGACACAACTGATTGATTATAAGTCAGCCACACTTTTATTCAGATGTGAATATATCAATTTAAGGACAGGTTGGAGCATGAGATGCCACGTTTTTAGACTATTACATTATTTGGTCCAATAACATTCATAAAGTAGTGGTTACTCTTTCTGTTCTTTGCACCAAACGATGCATCACAACATATAACACATGCACAATCAATTACTTGGGACAACTCTATCCAGAATACATACATGTTTAACATTGGGTGTTTCCACCTACATTAATCTAATACAACTGACAGCTGTACATAGCCACTGCTGTTACCCTCAGTACCATGTATACACAAATATTTACAGTTCTTGTACAAATGCACAGGGTAGGAGAATTCTAAAAGGTGCTATCACAAGGCTATACATCATAAAATACAAACTATTTACAATGATACATTAACTTAGCTGCAACTACATAACTGCTGTGAATTCCTTCACTATTTATATGTCTCCACAGTTAAAATCAGATTATTAAAAACTGGAATGCTGATACATGTGTAAGTGACTAACCCACTCCATTTCCAAGGCAGTGTTTCATTTGGAGCATGCTTCCATGACTTTGGCTGCCTGGAAGTTTATTTCCTGCAAATCACACAGATCTACATTATAGGGAAGCAAAATTAGAGTTCTCCAATGTCCATGAAGTTAGGGATGACAACCCTGAAGACAGTAAATCCAATAGCTATTACATATTGAAACACAGATGGTTCATTGATGGATTAGAAAGGGTTTAATTTTTTTACTCCCCACTAAATTTAACAGAAAACATTCTGTGGGCAATCTCTGTAAAACGTTCTAGTTACAAACCATTTTCTATTTGGATTCAATCACTACTGACCACCCCACTACGGATCATCATCAATTTTTGTCTGGGGTGTTGAAATGTTAATCTGCAGACACCTATAGATCATTCCCTTTAACAACAGGAAGTAGGTGGGCAGAATTTCAAACCTTACACTGCAACACATAAGCAGCATGTAATTCATATTTTTAAAAAATATACACTAACACTTGTCCTCCCAACAGGTTACATCTTATTGGACAGCAAGAGACAATACAACTTTGTTTCATATTTCCAGTCACATCACATAGCTTACCCCATCAAGCTGACAGAACAAGCAACTGCAAACTAGACTAAGAGACAGGCTAACTGAATATAGTGCTTTCTCCATTAAAAGGGGCAGCATTATGCCTTAAGCAGTGACAGAATAACTTACCACCATCTCTGTCCATTTATAGCACCTTAAGTTCCTGTTTGTTTGCCTGATCCTGAGTTTGAGTCAATGCAGACCAACTGGTACTGATGTGACCTCACTGCATAAATGTTATGACTCCTCAGCAACAGCTGTACTGTAGAGAGCTGTTCATCAGCTTTGGAATATTAAAAATTCTTATACAGGAGCTGTAATATTTCAGTTATTGCTTTGATTCTTTTCTGTCAGATGCACTGGAGCATGCCAGTTAACCTGCCTTTTTTGATCAGATGGTTTAAATAACAGATTTGTTGGATTCTCCCTTAAGTGCTATATCTGGAGCTACAAAGTGCTCTGTTTATTTTAATTGCATTTAGCTTCATTAAACACAACAAAAGTGATGGTAAAATCTTACATTAATACAGATATTAAAATTCTGCCCAGCTCATGTTTTTCTTGTTGGGAAATTAAAGTAGTAGCAAGCAGCATGCACAAAGACCATGCATTGTCAAGGTATTAAACAAAAATTCGAAACAGCAATAAATAACTCTCAAAGCCCATTTAAAAGTTCAAGACTGAAAAAGGGTATTTCACTGTGCTAAGTCAGTCACAACCCATAACCAGCAAGGACAACAGTTAGAACAGACTCAAACTATTTAAATAACTTGACAGCAGCTGGTCTGACTGGAGGAACACAGCAAACCGTCCTTAGGGTTTCGCTGAATATTCACAGAAATAGTTTTCTCACAGAGAGGTAGCTGTAGAACATTGTTTTTCAAGTTCATGTTGTTCTCTTTTGACATTTCCAGCTCATTCAGCAGGTCAGCCATTTGGTTAGAATAGAAGTTCCTGCTGCAGGAGGGGGAAACTCGCTCCATAATATTGCTAGAAGTGATGCACATTTTCCAGGTTGATTTCTCATGAATGCAAATCGTTGAAGTTGGTTCAATGATGTACCTGCTGCCATTTCCACAATGCCATTGTGACCCCAGGCAGAGGCTCATCAGCTTCAGACTCTCCATCAAATCCTCCGCAGCTTTGGACTGGGATGTATATCCTTGGCTTGTACAGCTGCGAGTTGTTGTTCCTGTATTGTTGGTGCTCCCACTGGAGTCATTGGAAGGACTGCTCCCACCTTTGTTGCCATCACTGGAGCTGCTCTTGTCAAGGCCGGCATTACCATCACTCGGTTTGCCTTGTCCGCTTCCATCCCCTCCACTTCCTGGAGGTCCCTCGCCACTGTCACGGCGATGCCAGGAGTAAGTGAATCCTCCATCTTTGTCCAGAAGTCTGCGGCTCTCTGAATCATCATCACTAGTTTCTGAGCTGCTGCAACTTGAACCCCGCCCTTGATTTTTTCGTTTGTGGTACCGTTTGTGTACTGTGCTTGGAGAAGCTATATTCATCTTCAGCCGACTGAGTTTGGGAGGCAGGTTTTCATCCATGTCGAAATCATCATCGGATTCTCCCTCCTCGAAGATCTGATTAAGCACAGGAGCACTCTTTCTGGTTGTAAGCCGATTTGTTATAGAAGGCTTACGTCGCAAAACCACTTGAGTAGGAAGAGGAGCTGCTTTTTTGTCATCATCATCCTCCTCCTCATCCTCCTCTACTCTGAACAGACATGTCCTACTGCTTGCACCAGTCTTTCCAGCTGACCCAACAATTGACGGCTCTTCTTTCTTTACTGGTTCGTTAGATTTCATTCGGTGCCCATTAATAATAGATTCTGCTGTGCGAGCTGGTGAACAGACGACAGGATGGATGATGGGTGATGCTGTGATGTCTTCAATATCCTTAGGCACATCAATTTTTGTAGGCCAGGACTGCCTAGATTAAAAAACAAAAAAAAAACCTTTATCAGCCATTTTTTATTTCAGCTATTTAACAATAAACAGAATGATCATACTTCATATTAGACGTTAGGAGACCAGAGACCACAATCTGTGACCATTTAAATTATATTCTGTAATTCCATTTTCCCCACCCATTGAAGCTGTCTAAGTTGCCTTGATTCTGTTTTGCAAATTTCAGCTCATCCAACATGGTTTCCCATTTTCCAACCTGTTTACTAACCATGCAGACACTTGCTCATTCATACTGGTTTCCAGTATGATAATGTCTCAATTTACAAGTTATCAAATTATTTTCAAATCCCGCCATTTTCTAACCTACGCAGCCACAAAAGACGCCAGTGCTGTTCTATATTCTGACCTCTCGAGCATCGGATTTTTATCCATTCACTACTGACAGCTGTGCTTCCAACTCTCTGGTTCCTAAGCTCTGGAATTCTCTCCGTAACACTCAACTTATCCCTTTCTTTAATATATTCCTTGGAATGGTGTTAAATTTTGTTTAATAATACTTCTGGAAAATGCTTTAGAACATTTTACCATCCTGTCTCCTTAGTGTTCACATAAACTTACTGTGATGGTGATGGACTTGCTATGAAATAATCCTCTGCAAATAATGAACATCACAAGCAAATTCATTATGCTAAAGGGTATGCACTTAAACAACTCCTGAAATTCAAGACAGTACAATTACAATATATTAATTATTGTAATGAAGCTGAGAAAGTACTTTGATCAGCTAGTCAACCCATAGATTTATCAGAGTTTCAAGCTAGATAATGCTAGTAAGGCAGTAAGTCAAAATCTCCTTAGTTCTTCAGCCTCTGTAAAACATTTGTCACTTCGCATAATAATCACTATCTTTGGGAGGTCACAGTATTTGCTGGATAGTAAAAGTGTATAACTTACCCAACGATGAGAAATTTCTCTAAAGTAAAAGCCTGAACTCAATCTGTGACAGTGATGATAACAGATACATAAAGTTGTTCAAACAAATATCATAAAAGAACTGCTGACAGAACTACAGTCATCTACTTGTTGCCTCAAAAAGGTGGTCAGTATACAGGTCATTTCATAAACTAACAAAACAGATCTTTAAATTGGTGTTTTCACACATGATTAGCAAACCCACCAAAGAAAATGTGAGCATGTGTCTGGACAGATAAGATCACCTTTCAGCACAGATATAGTTTGGACAAGGACAATGGTGTTTCTTACCAGAGAAACTGAGGCCATGATCGTAATTTAAGAGACTCTTATTAATTTCAAGAAACCTTAGAGAATTATTACCAAGTTCAGCAAAAAAAAATTGCACTGCATTCACTCGAACAGTTATCAGAAACATGATTATGTGACAAATCCCACCCCAAAAGCACATGAGAAAATTCAACCACCTGATCAACCACTTGGGAAAAAAGTGTCGGCCTGCAAGTATCAGCTGAGCAGCTGCTCCTTTAATCAGAGGCCGATTTTCTCCACGCATTTTGGGAGGGAGGGAGGGACTGAGTGTAACAGCGAGGAAACAGACCCCTGGGGGAGAAGCGGGCAAGGGATGGACCAACCTGGACAGGGGTTGGGGGTTGGGGTGGTGTGGGTGGAAACTGAACCTAACAGGGAGGGAGGGACAGAGCCTGTAAAGAGAGGGAGAGAGAAAGGGACAGAGATGGAGGAGGAACTGACCCCAAAAGACAGTGGGGTGGGGACGGAATGAAGGAGACTGCAAGATGTGATTCAGGGGACTGGCTGAGGTGGAGACTGCAAAAGGGAATGGCAACAGAGAAGGACAGGGAAGAGGTTGTAAGTATGGATGGGGATGGAGGAGGAGGGGATTACAAGAAGGGAATGGTAATGGTGGAAGAGGAGTCTGTAAGTAGATGATTGGTACAGGGGAGGCTGCAAGACGTTGCTGGGGCAGCAGAAATCAAGTTTGTTAAGCTGAATGGAAGAAGAGACTACAAGGCCCTGGTGAGATAATGAAGCTGAAAGGGCAGAGATGAAAGCTACAAAGGTGAGGGAACAGTTTCAAAACTATCAACGAAGAAATACTCTGGCAATATGGTGCCAGGAACACTTGAAATGAGTTCTTTGCAAATGATTGTGGAAACTCTAGTTTCAGGCTGCCAAAGTAGCAGCTAACAAACGGCAGGGACAACAGGATGAGAAAATAATCTGGATACTATTACAATTTTTATGTTTTTGTAACCATTCATAGGATTTGCGCTTTGTTAGCAATGCTATTAAGGCTTTACAACTGTTTTTTTAAACACACAGACACACACACCTGCTGTCCATCAAGTTGTATTACGAGTACTTAACTGCATGCTCCAGTTTCTCATTTGAATGATCACAATGACCAGCCTCAGTTTCAGAGGCCTGCTAATGTAATTCTGGGGATATCATCCACCCTTGCAGCATGCAGGTTTACATACTTTCTGCTGTGGCTGAGTACTATCCATGCAAAATAAAATATGTTTTGTTTTTTCGCATTACTTGAGATAGATACTGGCCAGAATTCTGGAAGGACTTGCTGCTATACTTTACTTTCCTGAGAATAAAGGAGGCAGGGCTGCAGTTTAAGTCTCATATGAAAGATTATTGCACTCACTTAGTACAGCACTGTAATGATAATTTACATTGTATACATAAATCTTCAAATGGAATTTGTGGCCATTTTGGAGGCAAGGTAGGCATCCTTGATCCAAAAAGACAACTAACTTTTCTCTCAGTCCACATATGAACCATGCCAAAAATTTTAATATTTATCCCCCAAGCACTATATATTCAAGATTTATCTAATTCTAACTAGCTTATAATAGATTCAATTAAAGCAAGGGATTTAGAATTATACCCTAGTTATTACTGCAAACTTTTTAGTCTTCGATACTTGTGTTTGCAGGGAAGTGAATTAACAAAGCAGTTCACTCAAGACTCTAAAAGCAGGGAGATAAGCACTCAAGGAGAAAAGAATTCCTCAGGTGGAGAACAATGTCTCAAACATTCCTCCCCTGTGAATCCAGTGACCCCATAATCCTTAATTCTTACAAGTAAACTGTTTACACTGAATTAAGCTTGGAAACAGAAAACAGTTGCTCTGAACACTTCAGTGCAACCTCTGGGTCCCCTAAAATCTAATGCATCAGGAATAAAGAGCACCCGTTGGCCATCTGATCAGGCCCAGGATTTTCGACAACTCTTTGAGGACAGACTACCAAGCAGGTATATACCTTGAGAACTGCCAGAGTGGGCAGTTTGATCAGGACTGGCAACACCCTCTAAAGGGTATTCATATGGCACATACTACAGAGCAGTGAGTATATTTAACCAAAATTTTAACATTGTATAAATAGCAAAACTCAAAAGAATAATCTGGAGAATACTTTGCTCATCACAAACATATTTCTATTAAATACCTCAATGAAACACACCAGATATAATCTGATGCAGAATTTAGGATTAAAAGGTAAAGGTGAAGTCACCATATTCCTATTCAAACGTAGGCCTGCTCTCTTATTAAAGAGACAGATGACCGGTGGTGGCTTAATCTCAGGATCACAATGCCTCAGGCGAGGGGAGAGGTTGAGGAAGAGGGTCCTTCATGGCAACCTCAGCAAATGAACCCACAAATCATTCTGCATCACAAACCTGCAATCCGAACTAACCAATACTCCAGAATTTAGATCACTAACAATCGCAACACTCCAGATAATCTAATCCACGTGTGGATGAGACATGGGCAAGAATGTGGGAGAGCAAGTATGAGAATGTGTGAGAAAGTGAGATTGTGATAATAGGTGTTTATGGTGGATAGCTTCTTGCTCACAAACTAAGTGTAACATTGCCTCCTGCAGTTCAGAAATAATGTTACATCCAACATCATGAGCAATGCATATCCATATTCCAAAAATTAAGGATATTTCTGTTGAAATTTGTGGTCTGTATTTCTAGAAAATCTGTTAACTATCACTCTATAGCCTCCGTTTGTCCTTACCTGAACTGAGCTTTGATATGGCTTGGACTGGGAGATCGGTTCCTGACTTCTTTTTCTTGTTTTTCCTTTAAGATCCTCTCAGCCAGCAAAAAGTAAGTGGCAGTGATGTGATTGTACTTGTTACTTTCCAAGGCCCTTAAAACAAAAGTCAACAGTAAAATCTTCCATTAGCAGCCATTTAGAAATCTATATTTTATATAAATCTATTTGTTATAAGAATTCTTTGGGACAGATTTAAAACAGGCTACATTAATGATACGCACATAGCCACATATTAATTTTTATCATATTTGCATAGAAAACAACAGCAGTAATCAGATCATACAAAGTGCAATCATGCTCAAATTAAATTGCACAAATCTTGAATTGACAGTCACGTCCATACCCAATAAACTGTGACTGAAATTGTACTCCATTTTGCAATAACATAATATTGTGGGCAAAACCTTCCACCACCACCCAGATTTTTAAATAGCTTTTCTCTGGAACATTTAAGAGGCAGAACGTTTACTGTATGCTTTTGTAAAATTCATCAAGAATCGGTGTTCCTTACACTACTGAATCTCCCACCAAGTATCACACAGTCAGACAATAAGGAATGTTAATCTATGACCTGCAAAATGAGTTATTCCACCATGTTGGAGGTGCCCGCAAGGCCACATAGCCCAAATGTTCTTAATTAAAAAGATTAAAATTAAGGATAAATCAGAATTTAAAATCAGTCTGGTTGAAAAAGCTGGAAGATTTTTGTCCAGCCTGCAAGTCAGAAGTGCTTAGGTTTAAGGCAGACAGTCCTATCTCTTTTCTAATGATTGCTCTACATCTGTAACAAAATGTGTAATCTTTAATATAATGAAGGAAATGTGAATTAAAAGGTAATGGTTTTATACAGCATTCACATTTATTTATTTTCTAGACATTATGTTTTGTTACAAATGCCGAGTAATTCTAAAAGGCTGCTTCTAGGCTACATCCTGAATCTAACAAGCACATTCCAAAGATTGCTGATTAAGTAGTTCATCGCTGTAATTTTCATAAATATGACTTCTGCCTTCAAGGGACAGCTTCACTATAGCAGACTAATGCTACAGAGTATTATGCAATACAACACCAACTGTTGTCAACCTACTAGAATCATCCATATACAAATGTCACGACATTTGTTCGCCTATTTATTTTCTTGGAACCACTGCATCGGAAATAAAACATGCTCTTAAAATGTTTGGTAATTGGGAGAACAAACTGATACTTCAACAAATAAACCTGCCCTCTTCACCTCAGCAGATATATTAGATAAATTAGGCAAGCCACATTTTTAGAACTACGCACAGAACAAATCATCAAAGCAAATCTTCCATGTTGATGGAAGACAACATCACTATCAATCATCAATGTAAACGTTAATCATCATTTTAGAACGTTAATGAAGTTTGTATTTTTATGACTCAATGCTGTTCTGTAGCACTGCCTGTTCATTTCTTTCTTGTTGTGAATGCAGGTAACATCTAACAGCTAAAATCCAGAGGCACATTTTCTCCCTCAATTTAACATGCATTTCAAAGAATATTCTATTTTACCATACTGCATATTACCATTTAATTCACATTTTATTAAACAGATGGTTTTCCAGAAAAAAAGCTCAAAAAGTGTTAAATGTATCAATGCCAGAAATTAAACACATGTAGGGTAAACAATACGGCTATGATACCCTCCAGAAAATAACGCCAGTATTGATACAGTCTTCTGCTTTGCCCACCAGGCTCTCTCTAAACTTACTCAACAATGGTTTCTCGGTCAGCTATTTCACCAAGCACCATGCGTTGGATAATGCCATTGTGCTCCTCCTCAGAGAGATTCTTGTAAGAGACGAGAGGGATGTTGCACTTGGTTGCAGGCGAGGGATCAATACCTCGAAGCCAGGGGTGGTCCTCTATCTCTTCCAATGAAGCTCTTCGCTTAGGATCCCTCTGCAGCATCCGATTAATAAGACTGTTGAAAAGCCATATAAAAGTAAACATTCATGAATGTTATCTTCTAGGACTTGTATAAGGGAACTTAATACCCAGACATTAGGCAGAACTGTAGTTGAGCTTAAAAATGGAGCTAAATCTGAGGATTATCCAGTAAAACCCTCTCTATGGAAACATGGTCTAGAAGATAGACCATATCTAGTCAGTACATTTTACCTTAAAAGGAAAGTGGAACAAGTAAACTTGATGTGCTACTGTTACACAGCTTAACAGGCGTATCATGAATAGCTAATATTAAAACTGTTTTTGGACCAAACAAAACTGATATGTTTTCTATCCGGCCCCCACAAACAAAACTCAAGATGCAGACTAGGATTAAACATTAGGAAACAAAAATAACACCATGTCATTTTTGGAATTAGAAGTATTTCATGTATGTTTTAAAATACTTTAATGGAAGACACACCTCAAGCTCTACTAAACAATGCAGCGTTGGAACTTCACATTTCTTTTTTTAAAAAGAAAGTGTGGAGAACCGGTGAAAATCTGACACAATAAACCCATCAGTGCAGTCATAAATTTTACGCATGTTTTCAAAATCTCTTGCATGCTTCAATTTAGCAATTGTTTAAATATGAATAACAAAATGACAGATGTCTTGAGAAGTAAAAGTCCCCATTTACTCCTTTACCAAATTAAACCTTGAAAATTTGTTTAGCATACCATGTGACCCTTTTCTTTAAATTAAAGCTTTATTGTTTTATTTAATGTTTTTCGTTTCCATTTGCACCTCTCCTAGTGTGGATGACAGACGGTTCAAACATTGTGCTCACTACTGATAAATGAGCACTTTACTGGAGCTGAATCATTTTAAAGTTTCTCTCACTGGTGCCTGCAATCAAGCAAAAAGGGAATAAGCAAAAGCAGTGTGCACACAAAATGTTTTTTTTAATTCACTCATGGAACGTGGGCGCTGGTGGCTGGCTAACATTTATTGGCTGCCCCAGCTGCCCTTGAGGTGGTGGTGGTGGTGAGCTGCCTTCTTGAACTGCTACAGTCCACGTGCTGTAGATTTACACACAATGCGCTGAGGGAGGCAATTCCAGGATTTTGACCCAGCGACACTGAACAATATGTTTCCAAGTCAGAATAATGAGTAACTTGGAAGAGAACTTGCAGGTGAGGGTGTTCTCACGTATCTGTTGTCCTTGTTGTTTTAGATGGAAGTGGTCATGGGTTTGGAAGGTGCTGTCCAAGGACCTTCGGTGAATTTCTGCAGTGCACCTTGTAGATAGCACATACTGCTGCCACTGAGCTTTGGTGGTGGTGGTGGAGGGGGAAATGTATGTCTGTGGATGTTGTGCCAATCAAGCGGGCTGCTTTGCCCTGGATGATATCATGCTTCTAGAGTGTTGTTAAAGCTGCACCCCTCCAGACAAGTGGGGAGTATTCCTTCACACTCCTGACTTGTGCCTTGTAGATGGTGGACAGACTTTGGGGAAATCAGGAGTTGAGTTACTTGCCACAGCATTCCCAGCCTCTGGCCTGTTCTTGTAGCCACTGTATTTATGTGGACAGTCCAGTTGAGTTTCTGGTCAATGGTAACCCCAAGGATGTTGAAAGCAGAGGATTCAGTGATGGTAACACCACTGAATGCCAAAGAGTGGTAGTTAGATTGACACTATTAGAAATAGTCATTGCCTGGCATTTCTGTGGTGCCTTTCCACTTGTCAACCCAAGCCTGGATATTGTCCAGATCTTGTTGCATTTGAACATGAACTGCTTCAGTATTTGAGGAGTTGCAAATGGTGCTGAACATTGCACAATCATCAGCGAACATCTCCATTTCTGACCTTATCACTGAGGGAAGGTCATTAATGAAGCACAGAAAATGGTTGGGTATAGGACACTACCCTGAGAAACTCCTACAGAGATATCCTGGAGCTGAGATGACTGACCAACCACAACTAAGTGTATGACTAATATCCTATATTTTCATTCCAAAGATCAAAATTAATCTCCAGTTTAAACTTGGAATGTCTGCCCACTTTAGCTATTAGAAGCTTACAGATGTGGCATAAAAATGGACGGATTTGTCTAGACTTGCCTATAAATCCAAGGTTCTATACAGCAGTAGGAATCAAGAGATATCATGAATTGCGTCCAGTTGGCACAATTGTCTTATTTTGTAGAAATGCCTATCTTGGAAACTCACACTACGTATTTAAAAAAAAATGCAGCTGTTATAAATGCACAATATTATTAAATACTTCTACATCACTTAAGACTGTGCAGAACAACCAATATGAAAACAATGCACTGATAAAAATATGCTGTATCCACTTACTCCTTGCATTCTTTGGATATATGGGATGGTACTGTATATTTGCAGTCCATAATCATGGTAAGTGTCTCACTGTCATTTGCCTCTTGAAATGGAGGTTGGCCACATACCAACATGAAAAGTATAACTCCCAGGCTCCAGATATCTGAAAAAAAGAGAGAGATGGGGACGGATGTAGAAACTATTAAAACAGAACCATAAAATTGTTACAGCATATAAAAAAGCCATCATGTTCATTGCTCTCTGCAAGACCAAGTGAAGTTAATCGTCCTCCTCATCCTTTTCCATAGGCCTGGAAACTCTCTCTTTTCAGAGGCCTATCTAATTTCTTTTCTAAATCCACAATTGAATCTGTCTCCACTATACACACTGTAAAAAGGCTCTTCTGCATGCACTGTCCTCTGATCCCTGACTTTTCTGCCAAGGGTAATAGATTGGCTATGTGACTATTCACTTAATTTGAAAATCTCAACCAAATCTCTTTTCAATCTTAACTGAAAACCTTCATCTTTGGAATCATTCTCAAACATTTTGTACAACTGTTTCATATCTGTCAAAATTATGGCCCCCATGTGAAGTCAAACCAGTGTTTTATATATTAAAAAAAAATCATAACCTTTGCACTTTTTCAAAAAAAAAAAAGTCCAATATGCCAGTATTTTCAAGTACTTTCTCAACTGGAACCTGCCACCCTCAATACGTGTAAGTGTTTAGAATTGTGTCCTTTAGTGTATATTCTCTCCTTGTTCTTCTTGTCTGCATTAATTTCATCTGTCACATGGCCACCTATTCCATCAGCATGTCTATCACCGTACTCTTCACAGTTCCCAATATGCCCAGGTTTTGTGTTATCGGCAAATTTTGAAATTGCACTCTGTACAACCCAGTCTAGTTCGGAGTCTTAACAGTGACTCCTGGAGAACTTGAAAGCATCCATTCTCCATTCCAAAAACAAACAAATGTTGACTACTATTCATTGTTTTCTGTCTCACAGCCATCCTATATCTTGGCTGCCTAAGTCCCTTGTGTTCCACAGCATTAACTTTACTGGCTTTGTGACCCTTTAATAAATGCTTGTTGGAAGCTCATTTACACCAAATAAACTATTACTCTACTCAACATTTATTACACCAAAAACCTATGCAAAAAAAGCATCTGCTTGATGTAAAGCTACAGAACTAAACTTAAACAGGACAAAGTTCTGATAGATGTTTTGGTCCTTTCATTAATGTTAAGAATGTTACAATTTAATGCATGTAATATTTGCTTTGAAACACATTTCAAAATAATACCATTCCAATTTGAAACACTAAAGTTTCTGTGATGGTGATCACCACGATTCTGAATTGAAACCCAAATCTTAATCAAGTTAGTACAGATGTAGGCTTAATATTAAGGTCAGACATTATTTCAGAAAGACAGCCCTCCTGTATCGCCACCAGAAGTAGTGATAAATATGTAAACAGGGATACTTCGTAAAAGTTCAACTACTTGCTTGATATTAGCATCAAAGCTTGGAAAAACTTGTAACAACTTAATAGGACCAAAACTTTCCACCATTCAAATGAATACTATACAATTTGGGACCACAGCATCTTTGCCTAGCACTTCGTCTACCTGGGCTTCATTTTCAAAGTTCACGTTTGCTAACTCCCTCAAGATGATTAGCTTTACAATTCAATAATGTGATTAGTGGTATTCAAATGATGATTATTCACCATTTCCTTGTAACATCCAGTTGAAAGAAAGTAAGGAGATTACATAGAGATAAAATACATCAACTGTATAAAGGAATATGCAGATCAACATTCTCTCACTTTCCAAGAACAAGTGACTATCAAAAGCTACCAATCTGCAGGTTAATATTTAGCCTGTCTTTAAAAAATAAATGGCTGGATAAGACCAGTTAGCAATCACCTAGGAAGCTCCAACAAATCCTTCCAGAGTTTGTCACTCAAACATTGAACTGCATATACTGTATCAATTAACACAAAATAACCAAAAGCCCCACAAAATTGCTTGAAGAAATCTAAATGGTCAGAGTAATGGCACTTAATTTATGAATGGCACTTAATTTATGAATGGCACCTTCGAAAAACAGGAGACTTCAATTGCTCATTCACATGTAATAAATCTGTATTCAATTGGTAAATTCATAGACATTTGCTTATTTCAGGTAATCATTCAATTTTATCCATAGAACCTCCAATTCTGACATGATGCCTTGAAGTGAGAGATGCGAGTGTTGCTTTTGAAAAACAAAAAATAATCAATGGACAAACAGAAATTAAGATTTAATCAGAACAGATTTCAAGCTATCCACAGAAAATCCAAATACAACATCTATTTGAAACTGATCATGCAACTAAAATCTCTCACTAATTATTTTCCATAACATTTAAGATGTAGTAAGAGCACGGGGATCTGCTGCATACTTAAACTGATCATCCTTGTAAACCAAGTTGAGCAAAAAGTCTCCCAAATTAAACTGTCAGCAGAAATAGGCACCAATGTCATCCTGGAGGCTAGAAGAACACAGCAAGCCAGGCAGCATCTGCAGGAAAGGAGAAGTCGATGTTTTGGGTATTACCCTTCTGCAGGCCTGGATGTGGGGTAAGGGAGCTGCAGATAAAGGGTGGGTGGCGGAGGTGGGGGTGGAGGTGTGCGCGCGTGCATGCGTTCTGGTTAGTCAATGGGAGGGATGAATCCAGTTGGTAGCTGGGAGGATATGATAAGTGGAATGAAAGGGAGGCGGCGGGGCTGGAAAGGAAGCCAGGGGATGGTTGGGAAGGTTATTTGAAGTTAGAGAACTCAATGTTAAGTCCTGCAGGTTGTAGGGTGCCCAGGTGGAATTTGCAATCTGATTCACTATGACATTGGACAAGGTTGAGGATGGACATGTCAGAGGGGGTGCTGAAATGGGCGGTGACTGCAAGGTTAGGCTCGCCGTTTCAGACCAAGTGCAGATGTTCAGTGAAGCGGTCACGTGGTCTATGTTTGGTCTCCCGATGTAGGGAAGACTACACGGGAGCACTTTATGCAGTAGACTAGATTAGAGGAGATGCAGGTGAAACTCTTTCTCACCCAGAAGGACTGTTTAGGGCCCTGGATGGGAGTGAGGGAAATGGTGTGCAGGCAGGTGATGCATCTTTTACGGTTACAAGGAAAGGTACCGGGGGTTTTGGATTGGTTAGTGGGAACTAAGGGAGTGTCAAAAAGAATGGTCCTTGTGGAAGGCAGAGAGGGGTGGGGACTGAATGATGTTCTGGATGGGGGGGTTCTATTTGGAGTTGGAAGTGTTTGAGGATGATACGTCGGATGTGGAGGCTGGTGATGTGGAAAACAAGGACAAAGGGAGACCCTATCTTTATTATGTTGGGGGTGGGGTTGGGGTAATGTTTAGACCTGTGGAGCGGGGAATGGAGGCAGCGCAGTGGAGGCCTCTTTGGATTACAGAGGTGGGAAAAGAACATTGTTTCAAACAGGAGGACAACCAGGATGTTTGGGAGCGGAACATCTCCTCGTCAGGGCAGATGCAACGGAGACTGAGGAATTGGGAAAACGGGATGGAGTTTTTGCAGGATACAGGGTGGGAGGAGATGTAGTCCAGGTAGCTATGAGAGTCTGTGGGTTTATAGTAAATGTCGGTACATAAACTGTCGCCGGAAATGGAAACAGAGGTCATGAAAGCGGAGGGAAGCATCCGAGGTAGACCAAGTGAATTACACAGTGGGGTGGAAGTTGTTAGTGGAGTCGATGAACTGCTCCAGTTCAGCCTGGGTGCAGAATGCAGCACCGACGCAGTCATTGATGTAACGGCTAAAGAGTTGGGGAACAGTACTGAAGACGGACTCCTCCCAGTGTCGCAGTGAATCAGATCGCAAATTTGAGGAACACCACCTTATCTTTTGTCTGGGCACCCTACAGCCTGGAGGACTTAACACTGAGTTCTCTAATTTCAAATAACCTTCCCACCCGTCCCCCCGCCGGCTCCCTTTCCAGCCCTACCTCCCCCTTCCATTCCATCCTACCATACCCTCCCTTCCAGCTACCAACCGGATTCATCCTCCCATTGACCAACCAAGTCGTACATATTAAAGGGTCCACCTATCACCACCATTTCACTATCGCTTCTCCCCCCCCCACCTCTTTATCTGCAGCTCCCCTACCCCCAAATCCAGTCCTGAAGAAGGGTAATATCCAATTTGTTGACTTCTCCTTTCCTCCAGATGCTGACCAGCTTTGCTGTGTTCTTCCAGCCTCCTGTTTGTCCACCTTGGATTCCAGCATCTGCAGTTTCTTTTATCTCTAGCAATGTCATCCTGGCTGGTAAAGACTTTGCTTTCTGAGCAAACTATCAATGCAACAATTTTTAGTAACTAAAAAGGCATTATTGGTTATTAATTTCACATTTCAGAAGGTGTTGGCTTGGCGTTGGTGGCATTGCAACATCCCAGTCAAAGGGTCGTGGGCTAAATCCTCGTTATAGACCTGAGCGTGCCATTTCAACTGACACAACAATACAGTACCATAGGAATGTTGTTCTGTTAAACGTGATGTCTCTAATGAGATAAACCATGGCTGCATTTGGCAGCTCCGATGGACATGAAAATGCCAGAGTTTCCTGGTCAACACACTTCTACAAATTTTCTGACACATCAAACAAGGGAACGATGATGTTCGCTACAAAATATTTCACACAATCTACAAGAACTTTGGGATGTTGCAAGAACATAAAGCCCTACACAAATTAAGGCTCTTTATTTAACAAAACATTGCAGCAATGGTAACCTGATCCACCCAGCAGGAAATGGAGATCAAATCAGCTTTGCATTTCACATCTCCGCCTAACACCACTCCACCCCTCAATATATTTATTTACTAATGACTTCAATGCAAAGCAAAAAGATTGCAGTGCATTTTGCACTTTAAGCCTTCTCTCACTTAGTAAGATCATGCCGATCTTCCACCTCAAAATCCTCTCCTTTAACTATCTCCATTCCTCTCAGTTCCCTTAGAGTTAAGTACTCCATCGCAGGGCTTCCCAAATTCAGAGGCTGGACGTGAAATTTTACCACTGCCAGGTCTGACAGCATAACGGTCACCATGGTTCTCTGAGCCAGCCATATCAGTCGTGCTCCCTTT